GTAGAATTCTTCTGTAAGTTACTTTTAGGAAACAGGGAATTGCGTGACAGTTGGTCTGAACAGTTCTCGCATCATTTCTCACTTGTTTTATGGGCCGTCTTGTATGAAATGCAACTTAAAGGAGCTCTATTCTTTAAAATACACTCCAGGTAAAACTTATCATTGTCTTAAGTTTCTTTTCCCTTCGTTTCTCGTGACAAATAGATAAGTTTTGGGGCTTTTTAAACATTTCTCAGCTAAATGACTGTAAAAGATTAATCAAAATTCATTCCTTTTTTGTTAATTCTGAGGTGCAAAATGTTTAAATTTGTACATATTTCCTGGAAAGCGCGAAAAAATGCCTGTTTAGAGGAAATAGGATCACACTGACTATATTTTCGCCATGATCGCGGTACGAATCTCACATAATACGTTTGAAAATCACTTTTCTTTAGTGAGAAATGTTACTGAGAAATGTGTCAGTGTCTCAACGGTAGCGCCCATGACCAACGACTATAGGTTATGACATGTACCATTCTTTGCCTTGAATTTTCCAAGGATTCTACCTCTAAAATAAACTGATGAGCAGGTCGTTACTGTACCGAAATCACTAAACTGCTAGCACCCCTAAGAAAAACGATCGTTTGCATTTGAATTTTTGAATAGATCGTGTGACCATTCCGAGCGTCCCGTTTGGTCATGTGACCTGCCCTAATCAGTTTAAGTGAGTCGATAACAACTAAAATCAACTTCTTTTACTAAATTGTAGCACTATCTTTTCAAGTCGGAGTTCACTGTAAAACAAAACAAGCCTACGTAAATAACATGAAAACACTTTTACGTAGTTTTCCCCACAAATACACACACAAACCGTCTCACACATTTGCGTATACTACTGTTGCAGTTATAAAACCTTCCAAAATAACGCACAATTTAAGCAGAAAGTAAAGACATGGACTTTTGGGCAGTTATATGAAAACAGGAATAAGTGTTGATTGTGTTGAATTAAAACTTGAATGCATAACATCAACATTGCACCGAGGGGGAAGGGGGGAGGGAAGATGCCTCAATTTGACAAGCTATTGCGTTAGTGTCCCAAGAGTTTTGACCAGGGTTGTACGTCTGCATCCTAAGGTCTGTTGTAACCCAAGAGCCTCATTACTAGGGGTCGTTAAAGTGTCTGTTATTTTGAATACTGTGGCGATCAACTGAAGGGGTCGTTAGACGAAACTAGTTTTGTGAATCACCATATAAATTTAATAGAGTGTTGAAAGTGGAAACAAATTAGATATTTTTCTTTTGTTTACTGAAATATCTGTTAAGCAACTAAAGCAATTTACTACAAGTTAATTTATCCTTACATCTCATATGCAATTTTGGCTTGGGTTAGCTCCTATAGCTCGCACCTAAAAAAAGTGCAGATTAAGCAAAATCTTGTAGGTAGATTGATATTCTTTGTAAACACACATGGTAAATATACCGAGAGTGCTTTCCCATTGCTGAATTTGCTAGACATACTCACACATCGTTTATTCTCTGCATTCTTTAAAATTTACCGATCTCTGGCATAAAGGTTTACTACCCGACATATTTCTTGACTCCTTTCTTCATGCTCGCGATATCCATAACTATTGAACAATACTAGACATGCAACCAATCAAACTCATATAAACCTCGTGTAAGAAAGAATACTGGCAAGAAGAATTCATTTAAGGCAATCGGTCGTTGGAAAAGCATTCCACAATACCTTAAAGAATTGAATGAGTACTGCACAGTACCGCAAATGATCCCCAACCGCAAATGATCCCGAGACCGCAAATGATCCCCAAAATGGACCGCAAATGATCCTCGACCGCAAGTGATCCCCAAAAATGACCGCAAATGATCCCGTGAGAATTTGAGGAATGGAATGGATTTTATGGGACTCATTACAAAAAAACTTTTTTCTCGCGCCTTCTAAAGAAAAAGGGAAGGAGGACGCTACATGCCAGGTCAATTTATACAAGGCGAAAAAAAAAAAAAGCAGAATAAATCTGAAAAGGATATGGTATCAACCGTATACTTCTTCTTTTGTCAATTACTTCAATTTTCTTTCAAGAACTGTTTCGTCGCTGAAAATTTAAGACAGGCAGGAGGTTACGCAGAAAAAACTCATTATTTGAACGCCCAAGCTCAACTTGTCTACTGAGGAATACAAAGCCGGGCATCCTCTCCATTACAAGAGCTTTATTGACTTTACTGATTTTTTTAGAAGTGTCGAATTAATTTTCAGAATATTTAGTTTTGATTTTTCTCTGAAGTGTTAATTTTACGTCATAAACAGCAAGACATTGGTTCGTAACTTAGGATTGCCCCAGGCCTGGGAGTGCCCGTTACGAAACAAGACATGATTTGAAATAAACACACGTCAAAATGCCCCCGGACTTATCAATGTCCACAGGTTTCGGTTTATTTCGAAAGGGCAACTTGCTTACAGCTCATGAACATCTTGCGAATAGTTATATTGGCGCATGTATATCCATTTGTTGTGCCTTTGCTGGAGACAGTTACGAGGCAAGCGGTAGTTATCGCGTGACAAAACATCGCAGGAACCGTCACATTCACGGACTAAAAGAAAGTCGCTTATAATCATTCGGATTCATGAGGCTTTTTAAAGAAAATTAAACAACCTAAAACCCTTATTTAGCCGCAATGAAAAGCATTGCATTTCAAAAGAGGTCAAAAAGGAAATGCACTTGCATTAAAGGACAAATCATGCCGACCAGAAACAACAATAACCGCAGAAATGCGTGTCATGACCTGTCGGTATGAAATAAGCGGCAAAAATCAAATTTGCTCGGAAAAAAAGTTTTCCTTTAGAGGTATAATCTACCCACCAGAGAAAAAATTCATTGGAACAAGCATCATTTTAGCATGAGGTAAAAGTCGTGTGTTGCCTACCGACTTCGCTTTTACACTTCAATGATTTTTTCATTTAGTTTTTATTCATGTATTTATTTAAGAACTAAAATTTAGCGTTTAATCTTACTTTTTGTAATAATAATAAAATCGACACGATGATCCGCTAACTCGAGTCTAAACCATTCCAAATTTTTCTTTCGGGATCATTTGCGGTCGACTTTGGGCATCACTTGCGGTCGAGGATCATTTGCGGTCCATTTTGGGGATCATTTGCGGTCTCGGGATCATTTGCGGTTGGGGATCATTTGCGGTACTGTACAGTACGCTTTTTTCAAAAAAAAAAAAAAAATCAAACATCATCTAATGTTCGAGTAATACTTGTCTAAACCTAGCACTACCTAGTTCTGCCTAAACTCCCTTCTTTTAAAACTTATCTGTATTTATACGTTTGTATTTTGCTTAATTGTTATCAATTGTTGTTCGTTCTTTTCTTTTCTATTATTATGTTATCACTTACTTATTTACTTCAATTTTGATCTTTCTGGTTCATCGCCTGTATTTATTAATTGGCATTTATGGTGGCCAATTAGAAAACCTAATGGTTCACTTGGCCATCATACTCAAACTTTCAAATTAATTCTGTAGCAACATCTTCCCGTAAACATCAATCAAAGTCTCTAAACTAGCATTAGTCAAAATATTGAGGGAAAATAAGGTGAACTGAACTGAACTGAAGAAACCCCTCCATGTTCAGTAGCAGATAAAACAGACAATGCCGTGCCCGCCCAAGTCTAGAAGTTTTGTCAGTCTTTTCTTATGTTTCATCATCAAGTAAAGTCGAGTGTTCGAGTATCTACTAACAGCCACGGTCTCTCTACAACGGCCAATATTTTTTTTTGGCGGGCAAGCCAAACATTGACTCTTCTTTACACCTCTCGACGAAAGCCCCCTCTCTACGACGGCCACTTTCTTCTTTCCCCAAGGTGGCTGTTGTGGAGAGGTTCAACTGTATACAACTTAATTTAAGGTGGCTGAACACAGTTTTGGCAGTTTTTGAGTGTATGTCATTTGCCAAATCGTGGCAAGAGAAAGGTTGAAGCTCACAAGCTGAAACTTGGCAAGTGAAAAATATACTAATGAAAGATTTTGAGTGACAGGTAAAATTTGATGTTTTCGTAGTTTACATGGCAACATGAACAACTGTATACAACCTTAAAATCAGATTACACAATATTCGCTCATTAGATTTTCCTATAAACTTGCACAAAGCTTACTATAATTAATCATTACCATTTGAAACTTATTTGACCAAATTTGAACAGACGGGTTTTCGTCTGTTCAACTTTCATTTTAAAGTCCTCATTATTTAGAATACGATAAAAACAAAAATTCTGCCAAATATCAAAAAATGGTAATGAGTAGATTTTGAGAAATCGTCTTCTGTGTACTAATGGCTTTTTCGCCGCCATTTTTGTTTGTCTAATTAAAAACACGCGCCTTCACGCGAGTTACCGCTGACCGCCTGCAAAACTGTGTTCAGCCACCTTAAAGGATCTCTGCCATGCGAAAATGAAGGAAGTGAATTAAAGCCCAACAAATTAAATGTAATATTGCAGTGTACCTTTTTGTTTCCTTGTTTTGTCTTCAGCTTTTCTACTGTTGCACAATATTGCTCAAAATTAAGCTGAAACTAGGCTAGTGTACTAAAAAAACACGATAAATCTGTCGGGACACTGCTCCTTCAACATTTAAGTCCTCGTTGCTTTCTATCGTAGCAAAAAACTCACAGTTTTCAGCCTCGTAATTAGTTTCTCTATAATTTTGACGGCCAATCACAAATTCTATGTTAGTATACTCCATTTGTGCAAAAGCTAAAACAGAACGTTATACATGAGATAGACCTTGATACAGGATATTATTGAAACATATTGTTTGTTTTCTTAGACTACTAGTCTCCTCGCAGCAGTGACTTGTCTCTTCAAGGAAGAAAAGGGGTACCGCTTCGTGTAATTAAACCTGTATTACTCGGGCAACTTCAGGCGATATCTAATTCTCATTTACGTTGTCCACAGTTTGATAAACTTGGCGGAAGAGCGGCCAAACAAAAGCATAAGATCGGATCATCTATCTGTCTCTTGAGTTTCTCTGGGAGCGTCTGATTTCTTGTTGTTTGTCGAGAGAGTGACATCATCGCCAATAAGTGTAAAAGGTGCCCAGTATTTTACATCGCTGAACTTCTCAGATTCTTTGAGAAATTTCATGGCGTGGTTAACGGACTCGCTCGCACTTCGCCCTTCAACAAGGTTGTGGTAGAAGTTTTTCATGAACTCCAACGTGGCCTCGTCATCTATGGCCCAAAGCGTTACCAGAACAGAACGAGCACCAGCACCCATAAAGGCACGAGCAATACCTACCACGCCTTCAGCTTTGATCTCTCCTCGACCACTGTAACAGCAACTGAGAACTACCAGCTTGGCTCGCAACTTCACACTCATGACGTCGGACATTGTCAAGATGTAATCTTCTTCTGCAGGGATCTGTGATCTCCGTTTAGGATTCGGGCTCAAGGCGATTTCTCCAGTTTCCATGCACCCATGTGCAGCAATGTGTATTACCGCAACCGAACTAATCTGTTTTAGCACTTCACATTTGGTGGCTAATTTTCCAGTGAGAGGTGCCGTATTAAGAATCTGCCCGATCATCTGTGCTTCTTGTCTGGCAAAACGAAGCTGCTCCAGGATCGGATCTCCTAGGCTGTTGGTAACTTCACTCATGTCTGGATCTCCTACTACTAGAGCTCCACTGCTGCTTACTGATTGGTAATTTTCGACTGCTATGGGCAGACGTCCCATTAACTCAAAGCATTGGCCAAGACCATGGTGAGCAAGAGCTACATGGCGTTTGTTTCCAAGTTCTTCAAAAATTCTAAGCTGTTTTTTGTCAAATTCTTCAGCTTTTTCCCAATTTCCAAAATGCAGGAAAACCCCACCTAAACCGCCACAGGCATACCCTGTCCTAGCCTTGTCTCCCAAATCTTCAGCAATAAGGAGGCAGCGGTTGTAGTAATTCTTGGCTTTCGTGTAGTTGTTAAAAGTTTCACAAATTTCGCCGAGATGAAGATATGCACCTCCTTCCCCAGCCTTATCGCCCAGCTCTAAAGTAATGCGAAGGTGCTGCTCATAGTGGTGGAGGGCTTTCTTGAAGTTATTAAGGCTGAAATAAGCGTTGCCAAGATTTGCATTTGCAACTGCCTCACCAACTTTGTCTCCAGCTTTTTTAGCAATACCAAGTTGTTGGCCATGGTAACCAATGGCCTTTTCGAAATCCCCGAGACTGTCAAAAGCATTGCCAAGACCACCATATGCCTCACTTTGTCTGACCACGTCTCCGACTTCTTTTGCAATATCAAGGTGTCTGTTATGATATTCTATGGACTTCTTGAAGTCACCAAGGCTGTGAAAAATATAGCCAAGCGTGCTGTATGTTTTTCCCATCTCAATTTTGTTTCCTATATCTTTTGCGTAGTCAAGACTTAGTTCAAGGTAGCTGATCGCGGTTTCAGTATGTCCAAGAGCTTGGGAAGCATTTCCTAGTCCTCCATAGGCAATGGCTATTTTTAACTTGTCTGTCAGATCTTCGGCATTGCTCAGGGCACATTTGTAATAATCCAGGGACTTTCTGAAATCACCAAGGCGGAACCAAGTGTTACCAAGACCTGCATACGGGATTCCTTCCTCACGCTTGTCCTCTAAGCTTTCAGCAACGGTAAGAAGTAGGTTGTAGTAGACAACGGCATTTTTATAATCACTAAAATGGGCATAAGCAAGAGCGAGATAGCTATAGGTATTTTGCTCCAAAACTTTCATGATCCATAACTGCTTTATATTCAAGAGCGTCTCGTCAAACTTGTCAATCTTAGGATAGTCAAGACATGTAACAAGGTTTGAAGTTGCCAAAGAATGGGACGGATTACTTTGCTAAAGACGTGAGGGATGCACTATTAGAAAAGTGACGGGAGGCAAGGAAAAATGTCCCCACAAAATGCAAAGTGAAACCCAAAGCAAAAAAAATTTACGGACGGACGGACCCGCTATTTCTCATAAAAAAAGATTTCCTGTGTGCCAGATACTTTTCTTGCCGTGTTTCCGGTTAACGTTTGTGACAAGTCTTTTTTATATGGTGACACCCACGAAAAGTGCCTTTTTTTGCGTCGCCGCTTGTGGCTTCGGCCTCTGGCCGACACCGAAGATTCCCGCGGTACGTGAGAAAAGAGTAAGAGCAAAAGAAAGGCTTCATGCCTTTTAGGACAGTCTTTGTGTAAGTTACATTAACTAAACATTATTATTGTTAGTCATAACTGCTCATAACTGTAAACTTGAATTGTGAAAGTCACGTTTAAAGTTAGCCTGAATTTCATCCGATTGCTTCGAGTCATTATTACTCCCTCAGTAACGTCTGAATCGACCGGCTGTTAATGCCGTCTCACTACCCGAAAAGCGGGTAGTGATTTTGATTGGTTGATTGTCTAAACATTCGCATAATTATGTATAATTATGAAAAATTTTCACGGGATTGTCGCTTGATATTCAGCGGATCGCATCCCTGGCATTCTTTTGTGCAGTTGAAGCATTTCGATGAGCTTAAAATTGCCCTTGTCTTCGAAACTGAAATGCTAAATTGAACTGCGAATGAAGAATCACTGCGGTAAATAAAAAGTGACAGGCCATTCACAGATCCCGCAAGCGTGTAGCCTCCCACGCAGGCGTTTTTAGGGGAGCTCGTATTTCTTCCCTCCCCACAAACGCCTGCTCAACAGAGGACAACATTCCTTTCCCACGCTTTGCCAATCACGTTGTACTTTCCAAATTCTGGAAAGTTGACCTTGACCGCAGGGTAACCCTATAATCACGCGATCTGCATGAAACGTTAAGAAACCTTCATGACCTCTAATAAATGTTAGTCTCAGAGCGGCAAAAGTAAGATTTGCTCAGTCAGATTTTAGAATTCTCTGTGCAATGCATAACCTTAGCGAACGAAAGAAAAGAAGGAAAAAGGTAACTCTAGGGTCACGTTCTGGGCCACGTTTTTTCACTATCACGAGCTTATGAGTCATGTTTAGCCTGTCAACACTTTATTTAAAAACCGTTGATTGGTCACGTACCACGCGAATGCAACAATGGGAAAGGAATGTTGTCCTCTGTTGAGCAGGCGTTTGTGGGGAGGGAAGAAATACGAGCTCCCCTAAAAACGCCTGCGTGGGAGGCTAGCAAGCGTGTCGCATGAATGTAATTACTTATCTACACGTAGTGTGAAAGAGATTAGCTACAGTTTGGTTCTAACCAGTATATCTCTTAATGAAATGCCTCTCTTATAAGAAATAATTGGATTGGGTAATTTTTTTCAGTTACGGTTAACAAAAAAGTTAAAAATTAATTTCTTTTGTTTCAAAGAGTTAAATATTAATAAACCTGATTTTTTTTCTATCTTCAAAAGAACAATAAAGGTCTTTGGATCAACTCGGGATGAAATAAGCTATTCTTTTGAAAAATTTTAACATTTGATAGATCATACTTTTAATTTTTATGAAGTATTTCACTTCTAATATTATTATACGCATAGAAATGTCAATAGTCAATTTAAAAGAATCTCTGTAAAAGCAAAAGCAGACACGCGAACGCCCAACTTAAGGCCGGGGCGCGACATTCATTTTTAACAGAAATGGCTGTTTTAACACTAGAGACGGATTATTCGTTTGAGACGGGTTATCAATTTGATAATTCGGAGAGGGGTTTCTGTGGGGGAGGGGGCAACTTTACAAAGGCTGGTCTCAGACGGATAATCCATTTCTAGGCCGGTATAGTGTGAAAACGGCCAATGACAAAATTCCCGTGTCGAGTGTTTCTCATGATAGCGAAGGACTGTACAGAAGGACCATCTGCCGTTGCCTTATCCATAGGCCTCTTTATTCCGCGCGGCTAATGCGTTTTGGGTCACGTGGTCCGAGCGAGTTTTTCTCTCAGCTACCCCACCGAAATGCCTTGAGCGAGAAGGCTTGGGAAGACACCGTACAGGGACTAGGCATGACTCTGTCTACCTTGGCGTCAGAGAAAAACGGGGAATTGTTGTTTATCGGCAACGTGTTTTACAAACAGTGACATCTCTGCGTGTTGTTTCACTAGTATTTCGAGGGCACGACCTTCTGAAAATCACAAATATTATTCCCCAGTGAGAAGCCAGATTTTCTTTATGGAAAAAGCATGGTTCTTCGAGAGAGAGGCGGAAATGCAGCATAGGTCTAGGTCAACACCTGAAAGGTGCTTGGCCTAACGTGCGTACGGAGTCAAAGTAGCCGGGAAATAAAAAACACAACCATAAGTGAGTTTAGCACCTTCCTTAAAATCAATCAAGAAATCTAGGGAACAATTTCTTTTACGGTTACCTCTTTCTTACCCTATTTACGGATAACGGTTAAAATTTTTCAATTTTTACGGCTATCGAATAAATTTTTGGCCGTTTTACGCCTATCGGTTAACCCCATTAAGACCCTCTTGAGAGCTTTCTTTCTGTCAGAGAATTTTACTTCCGAGAGTGTTTTGTCTATAAGGTTGTTCGGGTAGCCTCTCGCTCGAAGGCGTAGTTTGAATATTCTTATGTTTTCTACTAAAGTCTCCTCTGAAGAGTTAGTTCTTAGTAGTCTCAGGCCTTCACCTTTTACGAAGCCTTTTTTGACTCCGGGTGGGTGACAGGATTTAAAGTGCGTGTACTGGAATGTCTGAGTAGGCTTGAAATAAGGACGCGTGTCAAGGATAGATTCCTTTTCAAATCTTGCTTCTTTGTAGATGCATGTATCAAGAAAGATGATTTCTTTATCAGAAATATCAGCAGCGAATTTTATTGTAGGGTGATAGTTGTTTGCATGTTCAATGAAGTTGTTAATTTCCTCTCTATTAGTGTCCCATAGGGAAAACACGTCATCGATATATCTCTTCCATAACAACGGCCTTGTACTGTGCTGATCGATAATTGTTGTCTCAATCTCAGCGACCGCGGAGCAAGGTGAAAAGTGGGAGGGCTGACAATTGAAAATATTTTTTTCATATTGAAAATCGAAAAAAGGAATAAAATCATAGTATTTGATTTGTTTCTGTCGCGTGACTTTGCATACTTTATCCAGTATTTGTTGCTCTTTATAGGTCGGCATTAGTGAAGATACCGAAATTCTTTATACGATTTTCATTCCGTCCAGCAAATGTGTATGCTAAATTACAGGACTCGGCTGACAATAAGTAGAATACTATAAATAGAATGAATATATAACCCATCACCAAAAATCCAATTGCACTTAACGAATATTAGTCAGAAACAAATAGCACTTCCAAAAAATGAAACTTTTAACAATATATTGAGATGATTACTGGTCAAACTCAAACTCACCATTTTCACTGCAAGTAGTTGTCGTCTTTTCTGCAGAGCTTACAGACTTTGACGAAGTCCCAGATAACTCTAATAAACGACCAACATACACGCTCCGTTCAGATTCAATGCAAGAAAAGACGCGATTACAATTTTAGCGTAGAAAATACTACACTGAAGTGATCTGAAAAATTTCTAACTATGGCCGTTGACTGTTCAAGTAATATAATTCTTCTTGCCATCGAATATTTCATTGATTCGAAAGGAGAAAGACAAAATACAAAACTTTTATCAACTCAAAACAACTACTCATCTTCGTTTGGCTTGAAAAAGCTAGCAATTTTCTTCATTTCGTCTGATAAAACTGATAAAAAACTCTGCCGGAGCTGGAAGTACAAAACACGCTGCCGAACGAAGCTCTCTGCTAACCTTCGCTCAGTGGGGACGGGTAGGCGAGAACCCTGGGAAAGAGGTAAGTGGAATCGCTCGAACCGATCCAGTCTTAAAAACTTGGCACGTTTTCTCCACATCATGAAATTTTCGATAAGAAAAACAAGATTACAATAAAACGAACAACGCAAAACTTCACGAACGTGAAAGTAAAGCAAAAACCAGTCGGGGTATTTCAGCCGGATAACGAATCTGGAAAGGGTGTTGACGAAAATGAAAGTGTAACAACTGACAGACTCTCCTCTCCCTGTCACCAGGAGGGACATGAGTCCGTTTTCAGGCCTCGCTGACTAAGAAGGACGGTCAAGAGCAAGAAAGGGGATCTGGGGAGAATGTTACTCTCCCAGGTCTTCCGTGTACGAACGGCCTATCTGATATGACCCATCTGACCCAAATGACCCATCTGACCCAAACGACCCATATGACCCATATGACCCAAATGACCCATCTGACCCATATGACCCAAATGACCCATATGACCCATGTGACGGGTACTTTAGCGGGAGGGAGCCATTATTGTTGCGATAGTTTATGACGTCAGTTGTGGGTTTTTACACCGAGGATAAGCCAGGTTTTTCACTTAGAGCGCCGCTTTGTGGTTTCGGCGGTCGGTGATTTTGTTTATGCGAAGTTTTCTGAGATCAATGGTCGTCTTTACACTAGGCTGTTAAGTAAGACTTAAGAGCCGCTACGTTTTACTTAACCAAAAATTCGTGTGTGAAGGCCTAAGTAAGATCTCAAGTAACTTTTGCATCTCATTAAAGTCGGAAAGTTGAAACGATGCAAGAAAGTTTCAAGCGACTTGAAAACCATCCTTATGACCGACTTAGCTGACTTGCGGTTTTGCGGTTTCTTGAGCTTTGAGAAAGGCGAGAAATGTCAATCAATCTTAATTTTGTTGCGTGGGAAAATAACCTGAAGTAAAAAAGAATCGGTTGTGTGTGAAGCTTTATTTTACTTGAAGTAATTAAAATTTACTTGTCTTGAAATATGTCTTAGCTTATTTAGGCTCCAGTATAAAGACTATCAATGTTATAATTCGACCTTCTTGCTATTTTCACCTTCAAGTGTAATGATTCTGTTAGCTTTCCTTTCTTGTTTTCTTGTTTTTTTTTTCTCCGTTAAGGACCAAATAGCTTCTTTTCAATTAAAGCAAATCATTATGTTGTTGAACTAGGTGTTCCGTGTGTGTGTTTATTTCATTGCGTGATTGCGACCGAGTTTGATTATAGAACTATAACCTGTTCAGAGTTGTACTGCAAGCAGTCGATAGTTTGAACGGTAAACGTGAATTACGATCGAAAAAAATAACGCAGTTCTGTGTCACGCAGACATTTCCAACGATATTTCTCGGTTTGCCACTTGAAAATCGTCTTTTACTTTTTGCATGAATTAAAGCAAAGGTCAAGGAGTGGTGACGGACGTCAGTGGACGGAATTAACGGCCGGTCGATTCAGACGTTACTGAGGGAGTAATAAAAACTCGAAGTAATCGGATGAAATTCAGGCTAGTTTAAAGTACAACCTCTGTAATAAAACAAAGCAGCGTCATTTTCAATTAATTTAATGGCCAAATCGTGCAAAGGAAATTTTCCGAAAAAAATCCCTACAAAGGTTGCACTAAAAAATTCTTGCACAGGCAATCGGCCAGTAAAAAATTCTTGCGAAGCAAAAGGTCGCCACCCCTCCCCCATCACCTTTCCAATTGTCCGTCCCTTCACAATTTAATTAGGACCTTGAGGCTTTCCAGGAAGAAATATTGATAGCAAAAAAGAAAACATAAATTTATGAATTATCCTGGATGCATAGGAGGTTCTCGCGCTATGCAAATCCTTAATTGAAGATTTAACAGGTGTCATTTACACTGTTCTACCACTGTTCTATCAAGATGTGATTAAGGAGTTAGTTGTTATAATTGTTTGAATTTGGCTGCTTTCCTTACGGATGCAGACTTTTTTCTCATTAGCGGAGGAAAATCAGGCTTAACATTTGATAACAAATTATGTGCATTGTAAATGGTGAAAGGCGGAATGGAACCGACCACAATAGTATAAGTAAAATTCTTTACAGGAGAACTTAAAGCCGGATCTGCCCTATTAGAGAAAGGAGAATGTCATTATGAACAAAGCTGGACAATAAAACTAGAAATACTGTTGAAGTAGTTTTAGAGGTCAAATACAATAAAGGATACTGAAAGCCCTTGCTCACACCATTTCTTAGCATCGCCAAACTTCTTCAACTTCACACAGGTAGTCGCTCCTACGTGAAATTGAGACATGCAACTGAATTACATCGTACACGTCTTTAAACCATGCTAAATTATGTTTTATTGTGTGATAGCTCAACGAAACCTCTTCAGCAGTCCTTTAACAAGCTACATGTTTTAATATGCGTCTAAGGGTTTTAGTAAAATAAGATCATGGCTACCAAGTTTTTGTAACCCGGCCAGAAGACATATCCTGTATTCTTCACTCACATGGACGTGGAAGAGCCCTGTATCCTTTGTGTCCTGTCCTTGTGCTGATTTCAGGTTGACCAGAGCTATGGTGGTCCTATTCTGAACGTGACTTACACATGCCCACATTTTTGGAAATAAATTTTAATGCATAGACAATTCAAGATTCAGTGGATAACACCCTCCGAGATCTGCATAATTCTTTATATCCTACGAAAGCCGAATTCATTAATTGCTTTCTTATTCATTCAAAATAATTCCTAAAACATGCTCTGACCCTCGTCGATGTTGAGTTCACCTCAATTGTGTATGTTTAGAAAATAAAGGGCTGTTCAGGTCTGCAAATATACTCCAAATAGCTGAAGTTGTCCGTCGAGTTGTCTTCTTGCTATGTTTTTGACAATAGTTCGTCATGAACAGAGTAAAATGTTCCGTCGACTGTTCGGCCATTTTTCTTTTCACAACCAAAACAACTCAACCTCGTCCCCAGGTCTTCTCGGTTAACGGTGCATTAACCTCCAACTGCACTGTACTTTTGACGTTTCGGTTGATTAATAGCAAAATTATTCCAAATTTGGTCAACAGTAGCTGGTTATGGGTAATTATGCGTGTGCTTTTGGTCAATCAGAAACGGAGAAATATTTTGAATAAATAAAAACTCCATTTAAATCAGGGGTATAAAAGGTTTGGTGTAAAGTAAGTTTGGGGTTATGAGACCTCATTGTGTAGCGTGACAAAATATGTTATAAGCTATTTTTACCTCTGACAATAGCCTTTAAGTAAGTGGGATGTAATGATACTGCAACTTTTGAGTCGCTCAATGAATCCTGATAATTTCCTGTACATAAAAAAATTACAAAAAAAAAAAAAAATAAGAAAAAAGATCGTTTTCACCTACTGTACGAAATGATGTACCTGTGTTTATAGTTTACGTTATTCACTTTCGAACTTTGTAAAAGACGAACTTATGTGTCGGGAGAAAGAGAGTCACAAGAGTCATGTTAATCACATTCCCTGGCTTGGTCTAACCTTTATCATGATAGACGTGGAAAGGGGAGGGGGAAGGAGGGAAAAAGGGAGTTATTATGCAAAAAATTGGCTTCTTACAGCACGAGTTCCCCTTTCCCCCGTATTTTGCGCCTGCCACGCAGGACATGTGTGGACTATCGGTCATTGAGAACTCACTGGAATAGGTTTTAGATCAGTTAATGCACAACAATACCCTATGTGACAAATTGTCATCAGATACTGTCAGATACTTCACGAGGGTAATGATTGGGTTAACCTGAGCTCCATATAATTTTTAAAATTAGAACTACACCTTTTAATTTAATCTTCTTTGATCGTTTTTGTTTTATTTTGTTTTGTTTATTGGTCTTTTCATTCCATAAAGTTGAAATTAGTTTTTCAAAAAAACAAAAAGACTCTACCCGAATAAAAGTTTCCTGTCGCCCTGTTGTGGTAAAGCTTGGCGTTTAGCTTTTCATCCCTACAGTTCACTTTGATTCCTTCCGTGTAGAAGTAAATCGCTTGACAAAAATCATGTTTAGCGAAAGCTTTGTTACCAGCACTCTTGTGCACTTCTGCTACTGCGGAAAATTAAAAAATTAAACCAGGATAAGAAATCTGCGAATCAATAAACAGTTAGTACATTTGTGAGTGGAACGTATGCGAGAGGTAACATGTACTTACATGTCCTCTTCGTTTTCAAAAGATCCTGATTGTCATTGTCAATCTTTAAAAGAGTTAAGGTGCTTCAAATGTATACACAGGGATACGGATTCCGCCCATTTTTGCTGTGGATTTCTGAATCCTGTTCTTTGGAATCCAGAGTTCAGTTCGAGGAATCCATAATCCCACTAACGATTGGAATCCGGAATCCAAGTTCCATTGAACGTGGAATCCAGAATCTAAGACTGTCTTGGAATCCGCATGGAGCGATAGGCCACTTGCACTAAGAGGTCACGTGACCAATGCTTCCTTTAAACAATGAGTTGGACTCTTGCTGATGCCAAAAATTGACAGAGCACATAAAAATTATTTTACTCCCGAAATTTGAGAGGAAACGCATTTGAGGGCGATATTTTATGGCATTTTGAATTTTCATCAAAATAGTATGATTTCTATTGCCCGCCATGTTGGAGGGCATACTCTTGCCCTCCAACATGGCGGCCAAAACTACTTTTTGCTTATATCTTGTTAAACGTTTGATAGTTACGCTCAGATGTGCAGTAAACTTTAACACATCGTCTTTTCCACATTTTCCTTGAAGTTTAAGTGTAAAATTTGTGTTCAGAAAGAGGTAATTTCTAAAGTTTAAAAATCTCAGTTTGGTCACGTGACCACATACGAACTTACTCATTCTAAGAGAATGGTGCGGGTTTGAAAAACCAAATCACTATTATTTTATTTAAGATACGACCCACTAATCGTTTTCCGTAGGCAAAATCATATAACTTTCATTTTTATAAAAACGATGTCACATGACCTCTTAGTGCAAATGGCCTATTGGAGAGATTTACTGTCTCATCAACAAATTGTACGGTCTTTCATCTCTTGTCGTTTTCTTTTGGTGACTTAGGGAGTGAATTATATTATACAATTAAACTGGCAACTCCTACATGTTCAGCTGCAGATTAAACAGGCAATGCCGCGCCCGCGCACAAGTCTAGAAGTTTTGTGAGTCTTTTTTTATGTTGCATTGTCAAGTACAGTCGAACCTCTACTAACAGCCACCTCTCCACAACAGCCACCTCCAATTTTTTTGGCAGGCAAGCCATACATTGATACTTGTTTAAACCTGTCGAAAAAAGCCACCTCTCTACAACGACCACTTTCTTCTTTCCCAAGGTGGCCGTTGTGGAGAGGTTGAACTCGATGGAGGGGTTCAGCAATGCCGAAATAAAGGAAGTGAATTAAAGCCCAACACCTTTACTGTAATATTGCAGTGGACTTTAATGTTTCCTTTTGTTTGTCTTCAGCTTTTTATTGTTGCACAATAACAACACCGCTTAAAATTACATCTGAAACCAGGCTAGTGTACTAAAAAACACGATACATCTGTTGGGACACTGCTCCTTCGCCATTTACGTCCTTGTTGCTTTCTATGGTAGCAAAAACTCACAGTTTTCAGCCTTGTAATTAGTTTTCTCTACACATTTTGGGGGACAATTACAAATTCTATGTTAGTTCTCCATTTGTGCAAAAACTTAAACAGAACGTAGTACATGAGATAGACCTTGATACTGTATATTTTAAAACATATTGTTTGTTTTCTTAGACTGCTAGTCTCCCACGTAGCAGTGATTTGTCTCTTGTCGGGAAGAGAAGGATACTGTTTCGTGTTGTTAAAACCATGTATTACCTTAGGCGATATCATATTCTCATTTACGTCGCCCACAAATAGATAAATTTGGCGAAAGAGCGGCCAAAGAAACACAAGCATTAGATCGGATCAACTATCTGTCTCTTGAGTTTCTGATTTCTTCTTGTTTGTCGAAGAGTGACGTCATCGCCAATAAATAAGTGTAAAAGGCGCCCAGTATTTTACATCGCCGAACCTCTCGGATTCTCTGAGACATTTCATTGCGTGGTTAAGGGACTCGCTCGCACTTTGTCCTATAACAAGGTTGTGGTAGAATTTTTTTCATGAACTCCAACGTGCCCTCGTCATCGATTGCCCACAGGGACACCAGAACAGAACGAGCACCAGCACCAATAAAGGCACGTGCTATGCCGACCACGCCTTCAGCTTTGATCTCTCCTCGACCACTGTGACAACAACTGAGGACACTAGCTTGGCTTGCAGTTTCACAATCATCACATCTTTCATTGTCAACATGTAATCCTCTTCTGCAGGGATCTGTGACTTTCGTTCAGGATTCGGGCTCAACGCAATTTCTCCGGTCTCCATGCGCCCATGGGCAGCACTGAATGCACTACGGCAACCGAACTAATTAACAATTATTCCCCGAGCCCGAATGGGCTATCGACTCAGAGGCCATTAGGGCGAGAGGAATAATTGTTTTTAATTAGTAAAATCCAACTAGGTTGGTCAAAAAAAATCGAGACAAAACAACTTTGGCTAGTAAAACGCGATTCAGCCGCCATTGTTTTGGTTTTCAAAGCCGGCGCCTTTCGCTATTAGTGGGCTATAACATATAGCCTAGTAGTAGCTCAACCAATCAGAACGCAGCATTGATAATAGACCACTAGTTGGATTTTACTGATCTGTTTTAGCACTTCACACTTGGTGGCCAATTTTCCAGTGAGAGGTGTCAAATGTAGAATTCGCACAATACGTTTTGCCTCTTGTCTGGCAAAAGGAACCTGTTCCAGCTAGTCTCCATAGCTGTTAGTAACCTCAGTCACGTCTGAATCTCCTACAACTAGAGCTCCACGACCACTGGGGTATTCTGGGCAATCAGTAACCATTTTCAAACTTGTTTTCGAGGGAATCACTTTAACTCTGAAGGATTCAAATAAGTATTTAGAAAAAAGGATTTAGCACGAAAAATTAATTTTTTTGTACGTACGCTCGAAGATCCCAAAAGAGAAAAAAGAAAGTCTGCTAACAGGACAAAGAAAGGATACGGCTAGTCCTTTATCACACCAGATGATGGCTTCTTCAGATTGCTTCAACTTTAAACAGGCGTTCGCTCCTAGTGAAAAAAAAATCGACTCGTTTGAAATCATTATTTTAGGAACTAGGGTATCTAAAAGATAGTAATGCTGCGGCACATTCTGTTGACACTGGCATTAGTTAGGCAGTGAGACTTAAAAGAATCGAAATTGACATTGAATGTCCTATTGACATGTTGGAAAGTACTAGAATAATTACCATCAGTCCATAGAAAGAACTCGTGGGAACGTTGTTTAGAAAATGATCAAGTGGTTATAACTCTGGTTTTCCCACAGTAAATTGTAGGAAATAATAGAAATTCAGATTGTTTATCCATATATTTAATATACGGTGCACGATATTTTCTCTGAAACACAATACTTTTCTTGCTGTTTGTTGCACTTTATTAAGTAACAGTTATTTAGCTATATATTTATAGAAAACAACAACACAAAAAACGGAAAAAAAAAAAAAAAGAGAAAAAAGGAATTAAGAATCGGTAGGACTCGAACCCTGCACCTTCGACTCGATGCGACTACGCCTAACCACTACACCACAGAGGCTTTTTTTTTATTCCTTTTCCATGAAACTTCCGCCAGCAAGGTGATCGCCAGCCGCATTAACCGAGCTATTAACAGTATTAGTGAAAAAACAATGTAAACGCATATTCCATGGCAATGAATGAATGAAAGAACATAATTATGCTTTTCAAAACGCCGATACACGTCCTCGTCTGCAAAGTAGGACACAAAACATATGTTTTGTTATCTCGATTTCCGCTGTTATTTTGAAGCGAATGGTCAAAATCACATCCATTTTCGGCTCATACAGTTTCTTAAGAATAGCACTGCATGACATTTTCTCACTTTCACATCACCTTCTAGCAAGCTGGAATTTGTATATACCCCGTGCTGCGGAGTCGAAGAGCAAATGCTCATCTTCTCGTCAGGTTTAACACCTGGACGAGTCAAAGGCTCTTGAATTGAAATCAATCCCCAAGTTAACCATCGTACTCATCTGAAAGACTCCTGCGTGTCTTAAAATTTGGTAAGACCTCTAATCGTGCTGTAGAAAATTTGCCACAAAGAAAACCCTAACTCTGAGCAGCGATCGATGCACTCTCTCACCCACCTTTTATTTGAGTTGTTTGTGGCGCAATGCACTCTGGTTAAATGCAATGCATTGTGGTAAAAGTGTGGTTACATGCAATGCATTGTGGTAAAAAGTGATGAATTCGAGAATTCGTCGCCCTTAAATATTTCCTTTAAATCCTGATCATGTTGCTGCTCGCTCCCTTCGGTCGCTCCGCAGCAAAAATTTACAAGTTTTTAACTGAGAATCATTTTCACCTCTGATAATCGCCTTGAGATAAGACGGCTGTAGTGCTATTGCATCGTTTACGTCACTTAGACAATCTGGGAAATTACCTGAAAAAGAGTAATTATTATACCCTCATTAAAAAGAATAATAAGCACGAAAATTAGAGTAAATATTAACTGATAAGGCAGCGTCTACTTTATAGACTCTATGTAAACCTTGCGTACACTCGAGCTGTTTTCCGACACGACAACACACTTTATGTGATATAAAGAAAGTTAAGTAGCCCACGACAGTAAGATTGTGATTCCTTGCGAATGCAGAGAAGCATACATCGGCGGAACGGGAGGATGCAAGCTCCCGTAAAAGATCCTGGTCAAAAATGCAAATATTTAGCGGTGGGTGGAGGTCGCGTACGAGAATGGACTCTTTGCATGTGCATGCACAAGCTGAAAGAGCATATTAAAATTAGGAAACCTGAGAATTTTCAGCCGTATATCTCAAAAGCACCGATTGCAACGGCCGCCGAAAACTAGAAGCATTTTATTTGAATGAGAAAAACAACCGAGTTTGCCACCAAGTCACGCTTGCATGGTTTTCCATACAAATCCTTGTAAATTCTGGAATTTTTAAACTGTCGTAAAATCGTTCCCTTACGCATTTAAGGACTCAAATTGCCTGTTATGAACTAAAAGGAGATTTGAGCCCTGTAATACTTACGGAAATATTTCATGGCAGTTTTGAAAATTTCAAATTACAAGGATTTGTATGGGAAACCATGCAAGCGTGACTGGATGGCAAAAGTTGTTTTTCTGATACAAGTGCCGCTGTAATCGCTACTTTTGTGATATACGGCTGAAAATTCTCAGGTTACCTAATTTTGATCTGCTCAGTTCAGCTTGTGCTAACAAAATTGAACTGTTTTCGTGTTTACCGAAAGTTGATCACGCAAAGAGAAAAAAACATGTCACGCAAAGAGCCCATCAAATTTCTTGAAGAGGCCTGAATACTCCCAACTCAGTATGTAAAAGATACATATTAAAGATATAAATTCCGGAAACCCTTACTTGAAAAATTGAGGCACGTACATTACATTGTCTTATAAAAATCGACAGAACTCAAGGGCACCCAGTGACCGTCTCCTTCTAAATACACTGAAACACTTTTTAGCCTTTTTAGACTATCCAAAGGACTTTTGATCTCTAGAAATGCATTCTGAGCGGCGCCATAAAATTTGCATCTGTTCGGTCATCCTAAGGGAGCTTAAGTCTTTTAAAAACTTTATTTTAGATGCAAATTATCGTTTTACGAAAGGGAGAATTTTTTGATTCCTCTCTCCATCACATTTTCGAATCCGAAAAGGCACTGAGGACTGGAATCCGGCACAAGGATCACTATTAATTAAAAATATCTTTTGCGCCACACTTTTACTTGATTTTGCTCAGCTTGAACGTTGGTCGACCTCGTCCCCAGGGGGCTTTTCTCTGGTTTTTGAGGTGGGGCGCTTCACCTCAAAGGCAGGGAAAAAAAGCCCTGAGGACGAGGTTGGAACGTTTGTTAAAAAGACAGAGACAGCCAAAGGTTTCCTCCGGTTTGTGAGTCTTGCTTTTAAACAGGAAATGAGCGTGCACTCTCTTGACTGAATATTAAAGACAGTGTAAGGGCTATCCGTAGATGCCACGCACCGCAGTTAGAAAGTTTGTTGTTGATCCCACATTCAGTATATTACCTAAATAGAAGTATACCGTCGACCTGTTGTTGTACAGCTGGGAAACAAGGACTATATCCTTGCACTGAGTTTTGATTCCTTCGGTGTAAAAGGAAATGGCTTTGGAAAACTCTTTTTTTCTGTATGCCTCGTTGCCCGAATTCTTGAGTTCTTCTGCTTTTTCTGAAACAAATTAAATAACAATGTTTCTAAGGAAGTGGGAGCACATACGCATGCCTCGCAACGGAGTTTACAATGTACCTCCCAACACAACTGTTGGGAGGTTCATTTGTCCCTTGGATTTACTAGACTACAGCCATAAATAAGTCAGACCAATTCGCTGTAACAAGGGGCTAGCAATCTGAACGGCAATTAATTTTTCTTTCCACTTTGGCGATTTGCTTTAAATATCAACTCACTGATAAAACTAAGTATTTGTGTAAGTTTTACTTCTCTACCGATGCAACACCACAGTTCCTTTACAATCTATCCCCTTCAATTGATAAAAAATTTCGTTGTTGTTGATTGAGAAAAGGAACTGGTTAAATTTCCGCCCAGACAAACCTAAGATGCATGTATTGGACTCCCCCGTCGATCCCCTTACATGCAGAGTCACCCCGCCCCTTTCTTACAGTCTGTACAGCGTTTTGTACGGGCGGGCGTACGCTGACGTCTTGCTTCTATAGGTTTCTAATTTCTACAGTAATGGAGGCCCTGGCGGAGAAGCCGCGAGGGGATTGGGATAAAAGCGCTCTCTACAACTAGTCTGTTCCAGGCGTTCAAATTGTGGGGACGGCGCGAAGGAGATATGAGTTGGAAAAACAGCGAGGGGGTGGGTAGGGGGTGAGAGGTTCCCTCCTCTCTCTCATCTCCTTATTTTTCTACGTTCGGTCACGGGTGCGCTCCCATCCACTGAACGAATGTTCCAGGCTTTTGAGATAGTGGCGTGCGGCGTGAATTAAGAGAGCGGGAGAAAATAAGAAGACGAGGGAGTGGGAGACAGGAGGGCCTCTCACCCCCTACCCCACTCCTTACTCGTTCTCCAAATAGCGATTAGTACTGAAACCATGTTAAGCTATGTTACAACGTCAACTGCTACACTAAACTCGTTTCATTCAGTTTATATACACCTCTTAAAGTGTCCTCCTCAAACTCAGTGTCATTTTTATTGTCCTCCATTGTTTTCTTTGCAGATGTGTGACATTCCTTTCACCTGTACCTTTAAACGAACTCCTTGCCACAGCTCCTGTGTTAATAAATGAATTAGTATTCTTATAAAATATAATGATAATGATAATGATAATGGTAATATAAAGATAATGATAGTTACATACTTTACACAGTTGCGAACTAACTGGGGACACCTATTAAACTTACTGCACACCCAATTACATAATGTACTTAACTAGGATACTGTACATGAAGATGCTAAGATATCAAATTAATCTACATTTCTCCTAATTGCAAATGTAAATTTAGCTAGAAGACACATTGCGATTCTTACAGCTCTCTGTAGTTACATATTGGAGGCCTAACATTTTGATTCTTAATGCGTGTATTGATATAGCCTGCAAAGCAGGCGTATTTTGGAGCGGGATCCATGAATTGTTTTCAGGAATGACGTTGTCCCGCCATCTTGGACGTTAATACTACCAGAGAGTTGGGACGAGTCAAAAAAGTGTTTTTAAGGGAGAGGTAGCTTTTCAAGATGGCGGCCACGATCAATGCACCTCCGAGTTTTCGTTAAAAACGCCTGCTCTGCAGGCTAGTATTGATATGACCTCTTTGACTTTTATACTCAATTACGGGACTCGAATAGGTAGCGTTTATTCGGGCACAGATTCATATTGAGAAAGATTAAGCTACGTGGAAAAAAGAACTCAACAACTCCTAACATTATTAGGCCAACAATGTTGTGAGTTGTTGCGTTCCCGTTGGCAGTAGTGTGCAAACAGATGCAACAACTCCCAACAATGTTGGGACCTGCAATGCATCGGCGTGGAAAGGATACAGACCATAAAGACTTTGTAAACTCCAAGGGGACCATGTTTAATGCGCGTGCGTGACCTCAACGACGTTGGAAGAGCTGCCATATGCATTATATTACAGACCCAACATTGTTGGGCCACGCTTCGGCGATCACAGAACAAAAGAAAATTTGAGAGTTGTTGGTTTAAAAGTTTGACTGGTATCAAACTTTGCACAACAACTCCCAACAACACGCAAAAATATGCAACAGGGTGAGCAAAAGGACGCAAAATGTAACAACTAACAATGTTGCATCCGTTTGAAAGGGCTTAAAACACTTTATGAACACAATAGGCGCAATTCAAGCACGACGTTTGACTCAAGGCTGTACCAACCTACTGATCCTACATCCTGCATGACGTAATCACGACAGAAATTGTCGTGTCTAATCACTTGGCAGGATAATTAATTCAAAGAGTTGTTCTACTGTTGACACCTTTTTGTCTAATTTCACAAGAAATATAAAACTGGCCCGTCAAATCAGTCAAATTATAAGCCTCTAGATCATTCTTATAACATAAGAGAAATCATATATTATTACATTCTTTAACGTTTTTCCTCCTCCATAAAAATACATGATGCTCCTTTGTGTACCGCCCTAGCTTTTTACATGGTTGTGAATATTTAATAATAACACATAAAGAACAAGGAAGTGAAATCTGATGCTGTATCCCTTCCAGCTTTTCTTCGTTGCCCTTACATGAGCCAAGAACAACTAAGCGTTTTGTGTTTACAGGGCCACTTAGCTAACGGCTACAAGTCTCCTGGGCGTATAAAAGTCGTTTCGTAACTCCTCAGACACGTCCGATATAGCTCTCTCCCTGACTATGCTTAGTTTGTTCGTAGATATTACGGCACCATAAATAGGAGCAATGGAATACCAGCTTTGTATGCATCCAGTCCACTTACCCACTCTTTGGTTCGTCAAAGATTTACCGTTGTGTTTAGTGCGTATGTTTATAGTATCGATCGTAACCCAAAAGTTTCATCATTTCAATCTAACTGCTTGGTCAACCGTGAATTTTCTTTTGACTACGATTAAGCTTATCCTTTGTGATATCGGTAACACTTTCTCACATATATAACTCTAGGTAGGGAGAGCTAATAAAGTTTGATTCTTTCATATAATGGTTAACAGACACCTGCTCCATCGCCTTTTGACGGCTTTCCGCTGAGTACATTATCCTATTTGAGCGTCGACCGTAACTCTTACATGTAAATTTCGCCTTTTCAAATTATAACACTTGTCGACTGTCATATTAGTAATCTGATTGCGGAGGCAAAACGCAAATTTGGGGGCCGTTCTTGAAACTTGCACACCTCATGAAAGTACAAGAAATCAGAGCTTTTAGAAATGTCTCACATAAAGGGGCGATAAAGATAAGGACATGCGACTTTGAAACTTACCGCACAACTGACTACAAAACCGTCTGGAGTCTTTGCTCAATCAAGCTTACACCTTCCCCAACGTAACATTTTGTAAAAGTGGAAATGCTTAATGCTTGTACTGCCTTCAACTCATGACGTTTCCTACAGAGAGAAAAGGCTACGGAACCTATTTTAACGAGACATGCATAGGAAGCATATGAGAATAATACAAAAATGTTTATAATTACCCACAGTAAAACAAACAAACAAAATGAAACCTAGCAGGCCGGGAAAAGTCCCGATGAATGTTTAATTTTTGAGGGGGCGGTGCAGGGGAATTCATATATATATATTTTTTTGACAATTACACTGAACAGGCGAATCAATTTTGTTGTATGATATCAACCCTTATCCATTTTAAAACTGTTTTATAAATTTCGATAGCTGTTTTAAACCGAAAACAAACAGCTTTGCGTCTATTTCGTTCTTCTGTGTGACTTTGACACTCTCAAGGTTTTGAAATGCGCGTTGCTTAGCGACCCGGATGACAATGTTTGTACCGCTAGTGTCTATTTCCGTGGCAAATTGTGATTGTTCTGTTTGCTTGCCCATTGACTAGCCGAAATATTGGTCATTTACATGTAATACAAACGAAAACTTTACCTTTTTTTCGTGAATTCGTTTGCACTTGCTATGCATAGTTTTTTTTAACATCTTATGACAATGAACACGGCGGGGCCAAACCACTCCCCCAAAGAGCTTGTTAAGGCTTAATTTACGTATAATTTGTTGCTGAATTCAGTACGAAAATAATTTTCTAGCTACCAGTAAACAACGACAAGCCAAACTTCGTCGCTTTCTTGGTATTTGTTTGGACGACTACTTCATTTATCGCTCAAATTTTTTCTGTCGGAAAATGTCTCGAAAAGAGACGCCATCTTGGCTTCGGTCAAAAAACAGTAAATAGCCAAGGATATTCCAAGTTACGGGAACCCATCAAAACGCGCGAAAAGTGCTATTCACTGTTTTTGTAAATACTAAATAGAAATAAACAAAATAAGTACTAAAAATATTCGAAATAAAAATGACTAAACCTTGTGTTTTGGCGAGTTTCAAAGATTCTGAGTTGTACTTACAATATAAGGAAATACATGTGTAAATACTGTAAGGACATTTGTTGTAGTAGCTGATACTTCTCTGAAATTCATTATCATCCTAGCCAAAAAACGTGAAGAGAATGCGTGTACCTTAGTGCCAACCGTTTTTCGATGGCATGGGAAAATGGAATTCAAATTCCATTTCCATTTTTTTTTGGTTTTCGCATGACATTGAAAAACAGATTTGAATTTTGCTTTTTGTTTTTCGTTTTCGCATTACTTTGAAAACCGGATATGAATTTTGTTTTTATTTTTTTATTTTCGTATCACTTTGAAAAACGGGTTTTGTATGGCTTGTTAGAGTCTTGTTATGTACTTATGATGTAGTTGTATCGTGTATCCGAAATCAACGTGTTTTTTTTTCATGGCTATCATCATATTATTGGTCATCCCTTGTTAAAAAAGGAGTACAGTGTGTGTGGGGAATATCATGGGGGCGGGGGAGTTCACCACTCACTTTGGCCCCGGGGCCAAATTCAGTTACTTTCCTTTGCATAAAAAGTGAATTCCCCGGTCAACCGCGAGGGGGTGTGCCGGGACTTCAAATGACAAACGAAATTCAGATCTGTTTTTCAAATAACAAGCCATACAAAAACGAAATTCAAATCCGTTTTTCAAAGTGATGTGAAAACGAAAAAAGAAATTCATATCCCTTTTTCAAAGTCAAGGATGCGAAAACGAAAACGAAAAACGAAGTTCAAATGCGTTTCTCAAAGTGATGTGAAAACGAAAAACGAAATTCATATCTGTTTTTCAATGTCATACGAAAACGAAAAACGAAAAATGGAAATGGAATGTGAATTCCATTTTCCCATGCCATCGAAAAACGGTTGGCACTAAGGTACACGCATTGAAGAGACTTGCACTTTCAAGAGACAAAGCGGAAAGTTGAACGATCAGTTTGCTCAACCTAGTCATTGCTGAGTTTCTTATGTTGGAGCTCTCCTCAAATTGCATGGCCTAAACCGCCGTGACGAATTATTTTAATCCATATCCTTAGTATTTTTCCTTTCCAGTTTTTATGTTGTACGTCATTTCCGCCTCTCCCTTTTATTGCGACATTCTCCACCTATATAATATTGTGATTGCTACATAAGTTCAGTAACATCTGTAAACCTGAAGAAGGCTGGTATGGCCAGCCGAAATATTGTTATAAAAAACAATAAACGTTGTTTTAAATCAGCTTTGCTGTAGTCTTCGGACTTCTCGTTCTTGTTCTTTATATTTTGGCTGATTTGATCTCTTCTCGAGAGATCCAACGTTTACATCTAGCAGGATCTTCGTCCACGGTTTTTGCAGTTAATTTAATCCAAAATTGTTAGCTGGTTTGATTTTGGACCAACGCGAAAATGTAGCCTCCGCTCGTAGGGTAGGTTTCTGGGAAACTACCCTCCTATCCAATTTTGGCTTAAGGAGGGGCAGAGGTGGGCGTTTTCCCCAGAAACCTAAATTTTCACAAGACTTCCTTTTTCAACATCTAGTTTTTCTTTTCTCTTCCTCACGAAAGAAGGCGGCGAGAATTGGATAAGCATGAAGATATGACAAGTGAAAGGATTTTGACTGGTTGATCCGGTTAACCCTTTAAAGGGGCTATGTCACGCAATTTGCTATCCTTTTTTAAAGCTAACACGTGTCTTAAATTCCAAAAATAATGGTCCAGTTTTGTTATTCAAGACTATAATCAGGCATTGAAACTATTTCCCGTCGTAAATTGCAACAGATGGCAAGGATGGACTTGGGTTGACACTTAAAATTGGGCCAACGTTTTCGAGTTTGAAAGCTATGCCTCCAGAAATAGCAAAAAAAACCATTTTGGTAATTTGTATGGTTTCTTCTTTGTAACTTTACAGGAGCGTTTTGTGTCTGGGTAGAGACACTAAGTAATGACTTCAGTAAAGAATTGACCGAAAACAGCAATATCTTCGTGACATGGTCCCTAAGAGTGATCAGCATCAAATTTTCCCCTGTAACATCAATGGTTTATAAAACTGATCTGTCACGAGAAATAAGAACGCAACCACACTAGAAGAATTCAATCGCTAATTTAACAACTTCACTTTACTATGTTTTCTCCTCCCCTCGTCCGGCGCTGTAAGCTTATCTCTCGCGCTTTGCGCTATACTCTGTCCTCTCGATCCATCTCGCATGCGGGTGTAGCCTACCTCCAGTCGCTCGATTATCGGTACGATTGGTTGTTTACTATTTACATGGGGAAACCAGTCGGTTCACAGTTTGGTATGCGTAATACAGAACTGGTAAATTTCGCCCTGGGACCTCATTAAGGACGGTACCCACTAATGGGAAGTATTTTTTTCCCAGATAATGACTGTGTGAGACAAGTAGATGATATCAGGGGCTATTGAAATCCAAAAAGAAAACTGGGGATAACCGCGCTTTTTTCAGAGATAACAAAAATCAGTCTCATTTCCTGGAAAAAAAAAGCCGTGAGGGTTTAAAACTTGTAACAAGAAGAAATGGAACACAAATTTCGATCTAGATCATTCCATCTGGAAAAACAGGACTTCTTCTATCTACAGTCGATTCTCGCCTTGCGAGCATCCCGCTGTAACGGACAGCCCGTCGTTATCCAGAAACAGTGCCCGAATGCCACGAGTTTTTTGCGTGTGATGTGAGTTTTGGCCACGGCACGGAGAGTTGAACTAACTTTCTGGTTAGAATTTCCAGTGGAGATTTTCTTCTTGGTTTTCTAGTTAGGACTTAAAAGGCTGAATTTGTCATTTTTCACTTTTTCTTGTAGCGGTAATGTTTAAACCCATTGTTTGCGACGGGCTTGCCGTGACTACTGACATACCTGCGTTTGTCTTTGCTACTTGCTGAGAAGCGGTTTTTTAGCTGGGCCATTAGCAACATCTAAAAAGTTAACTTCAAACGTCATGCAGAACAAAAGGTGTTCAGTACTCCGATTTTTCTCCCTCGTATCAGGGGCACCCAACGAGAATATAGTTCAAAACCACTTAAACATAGCATTGTTAAACGTATTTTAGTATTTAAACGGTAGATATAGGCATATTTTTATTCCCTAGAAATTTTCCATCTGTTCGGATTTCCTAGCTGAAAGTCTAGTGATCCGAAAATTATAGGGATCAAAACCTACCTTTCCGAAAATTTCAGCCAGAAAAAAGGCTCCCAAAAAATTCTAGGTGACCTTTTAAGGGGAAAAATCCGTTAAAAATGGGCAATTATACCATTTTTTAGATGTTCGAAAATCCTAGGAGAGGCAGGCAAGCACGAAATTTTACAACAAATATTCCGAAAATTGCAGATCGCAAATCGTCTTCCGAACAGATATTTTCCTAAAATTGTCGTTGGGTGCCCCTGTCGTATTTCGTTCTTCCTCAAAACGAAACACGAGCTCCCATAAAAACGCCTGCATGGGAGGCTAATTTATATGTTTCTATTTTCAGTAGCTATGGGGGCTCTGCTTCGCGGACGCTCCGCTATAAACACTATAAACATACTTACTGACTTCATATTTTGGGTTGAAGAATACCGTTCGTTATACCGAGGACTTCAGTCGTGATATAGAGGTTCACTGACCGGTAGATCTGTCAGAAGGCATCCCACGTCTACCATCGTTATCGAATTTTTTGGTGTAAGACTATTACATGTAACTGATACTGTTATGCAAGAATTTTTTTTTTCGTTCCAGGTCTGTTTTCAAAATACTTCTTTTCCGTTTATCACTCAGCACCTCGCAAATTCAGATGTTTTATCACTCCAGTCCATGTTTTACATACATACATACATATATATATAATTTATTTGATATTGCAGGTTATAAAATACAGGCAACTAATTATAGCTGATGTGGAGCTGCCTAATAATCAAATAAAAAACAAATAAATAACAAATAAATAAATAAATAAATAAATAGATAGATTAATTGATAGATAAAAGATACATTGTAAACTGAACTATATATATATATACAACTATATAACTACATACAACTATATACAAGCTTAAGAAGATAAAATTTGAAATTACAAGCTAGCAGTTAAGACTTAATATATATAAAAAATAAAACGAAATTAAAAAATTAAACATATAAAAAGTTATCAAGATCCTTATTGCAGTTCATGCAGGTTTCTCTAATAAATGAGTGCTGCTTTGTTGGTAGATGTTTTAAGAACTCTTTTGAATGTATCAATGTTGTCACATTCTCAGGTTGTCGTATCTAAACAGTTCCAGACAACTGGACCCCTAAATAAAAGACTGTCTCTACCTGGTACTAGCTAATTCTGTTTTTTTTTCTAGGTACTTCCATTAACTTTAATTTGCGTCTTGAGTCCGTAATTTATTAATTACACGTTGAGACAAACTATTTAGCATGTGTTTTGCCTGACATCTCAATAGCTAATGTTTGTTTATAACTGAATATACCCAAAACTTTGCCAGTGAACACGCTGTTATTTTTCACAATTCATAATATTCTTGGGCAGGCTATGTATTAATTTAGCCGCTCTTAGATGAAATCGTTCAATCTCTAGGGGCACCCAGCGTCAATTTTCGGAAAATATCTGTTCGCGAGACGATTTAAGATCTAGAATTTCGGAACATTTGTTGTATAATTTCTTGCTTGCCAGTCTTTCCAAGGATTTTCGAACATCTAAAAAATGGTATAATTGCCCATTTTTAACGGATTTTTACCCTAAAAAGGTCACCTAGAATTTTCGGGAACCTTTTTCTGGCTGAAATTTCCGAAAAGGTAAGTTTTGATCCCTGTAATTTTCGAATCACTATACTGGACTTTCAGCTAGGAAATCCGAACAGATGAAAAATCCTCTGGGATAAAAATATGCCTATATCTACCGTTTAAATACTAAAATACATTCAACAATGTTATGTTTAAGTGGTTTTGAACTATATTCTTGTTGGTTGCCCTCGAATTTCGGCAAAAGTAGCAAGAGAACAGCTTCCCGACACTGATATCGAGAAAGTTCCATGAGGAAGTATAGTCTATATATACCGCATTTTTTCGCTTATAAAGCGCAGCATTTTTTCAACAAAAGTTTGCTTGATAGCTCTAACTCTGTTGTGATTTCGGGATGCATCTTATAACCGGCAGACTCTGTCGAACTTTTGCCGCACAAAACACCTTTGCCACACCTAGCTAAAACTGCCGTACCAAAAAAAAGAAATTGATTCAGACGCCGCTCTTTTGTCGTACTTTCAACAATTAGGTTCGGCACATGAGTGGAGCGGTGTCTTAGCAGGACCTTAGTAACCAATCCCAAAGCTACCAGTTATGCCGCAGGCTTGCAACTCATAGCCTAGGATGTTATGGTCTACGGAATGAAAGGCTTTTCTGAAATCAATAAAGATTGCTCCAATTACTTTGCCATCGTCTTATGGATAGCTTCCACATCGCTGTAAGGTATAATAACAATGATTCAGATGATAGACCCTTTCTGTAGCCCCACTGGTTCCGTTGCAAAACACATTTCAAGTGTCGGTCTTAAAATTCACATTTGATATTTTGCTGCGAATACTTAGCAATATCAAAGGTCGGCAGTTACCACTCCAGTCCATTTCATGTTTTATCACATGCCGGAAACATCTGGTCTTCTCTGCTACCAAAAGGGGAATCCCCGGCTATACGAGCATTCAGTTGCGTCATGTGTGATCTTGCCTAAATGATCAAGGAAGTGAGTGGAACTGACTTTAGCTATAGGGTGTTCATAGTCCCCTTTTTCGAGATTTGTCCTTTTTGGGTAAGGGGATAGGAAGTGTCTGTGCCTAAAAACTTACGGCTACTAATTTGTACTCTTCGCAATCCATCTCTGCAGTCATGGGAAACATTGGAAAATGTAACTGTAGGTGACTAAGAAAAGTCTTGTAGGCTTTCAGTACCAGCCCTGCTGTTGACATAGGTCATAAAGAACAAAACCTTTATCGTAGTATTTTTGGATATATTGTAGAATTTCTCTTTCGGTCTACCCACAGCGAAGAATCAGTTGAAATGCAGTAGAAGAACGAATGAACATTTGCAAAGTGCTATAAACCAGTATAAACAGCTAATGCTTTGAACGGCTGATGCCGCTTGGATTTTCATATGGACCAATCTAGGTCTGCAGTGGAAGGTATAAAAGCTCAACAATGACGCCCAGCTACAGTGTACCCCAGGGGTAATTTAAGAATGGTCGGGTAGGGATATGCCACTGGGACCCCGGAACCTTTACTCTAGACCTGACCTAGTAAGTTCGGCTGAATTTTGCTATCCTAAACTAGACTAAGCCCCCCCAACATCTCTCCGCATCCTAGAGTAGCTATTTTCAGGAAATTTCATACTGGGGTGAACACTTTCTTTGCTATTAAACTGAATTAATTGCAGGTAAATTCAGATTTTCCGATTTCCGGTTCCCCTAGCCTAGAGTAAAATCTTCAAGCCATTGACCACGGAGTTTTTGGAAAAATGACATCCTTTTTTTTTTAGACACAACCTCTCTGATTCTATACCCTACCCAGAGTAGGTTGAAAAACCAGACCCTTAACCCTTTCACTGCCAAACGTGGCCAAAGGCAAATTTCGACCAAATTTCTAAAATTTTGACAAACAAATAGCATCATGTGAAAGTACAGGCAGAGATCTTTCATTTGAATGGTCACATCATAGGATTTCGTCCATAGACTGAAAAGGTAGAGTCACCTTACAAAACTCCATCAAACACCCTGGCAGTGAAAAGGGTTAACAGCGGCACATACCTATAAACTGATTTCATGTATGGCAGTACCCCCTGGCAGTATACCCGCCAGATAGGCCACTGACAGGCATATGTACTCAAGGCAAGCACAATTTGCAGTGTTAGTGTGAATAAAATTACATGACTAGAGATTATTCTTTGTCTATCTGCATGTCTTGCTAAACAAGGCGGGTCGGCTAAGACAATCAATTAAGAAGAATTTCTTTAATTATCAATGTTATTATTAGTACTGGCTAATATTTTTTCTTTTTTCCCCCTCTTTCCAGCGATCATGAAAGTATGCTGTGGTGCTGTTAAAACGATAAAGGGTGCTGTCGCATTGGCTGTCGCATTTTTCTTCGCTGTTTCCTTGTTTAGACTGGTTGTCGAAATCTTTAGATTCGGTACAGGCTGTGCACAGGATGATTCAATCTGTATCGCTTTTGTAGTAGGCCTAGGTGTTGGAGTCCCTGTGTTGATCACCTTAAGGATGTTACGACGGAAAATGGTATGAGCTAAATTTGTACTTAGATTCAACTGCAGTTGCAATACTACTGAAACAGGTACTTCGCGAATTCAAAGATACGCCTGTCGGTTACAGCACACAAAAACACGTGAACTCTGAAGTTCAAAAGCCAGATAGTGCTTCCGTTCTTCAGTCCTGACAATCATCTTAGCAGACCTCTCAGGAAACAGAAATTGTCTTCAACGAGTTCAAAAGTTCGTGGTTTGTGGTTTATGATTGGTGGATTTCGATCCATGTTTTGGTTTTCTGTGTTTCGCAGTAACGACTTAGGTCACGTGGTTTTGTTTGTCAAACCAAAAAGGTGAGCTCACGTTGTACAATGGCACAGGTACTAGTTGGAGATAAATGCTAAAAGTAGTACTGATTCAGGCTCCGAAGGCTTTTTATAGACATTCAAAGTTATATAAGATTGTTTACTGCTATGTAGTGTAAAATCAGCTTGTGGATGATAAGTGACAAGTAAGAAGGAAAACAATAGCAGCGCGCTTTATCACTGGATAATGTTCCTTTATTAGTGGGAAGCCACTAATCCAAAATCTTTTAGAGCAATCGGTGCGAAGGATTTTTATAACGTACAGTGTTATGCACGAAACGGTTTCTATTTATGCTGCCTTTGTTTAACCACTACGCCACTACGTTTTGCTCTTCCCTTTCAGCCTATCTATTTCCCAGTCTCTTGTGGTCACAGAAAGTTAATATTTACCGGAACAAGTTCCAAATCTCTTGAAGAAATACTTTTGTGCGTTGAACAAAATATCGCGACAGAAGAGGAACTTCGTCACTTGAAAGAAGGAGCTCAATGTTATCTGAATGATATCAAGGTTCAGCTGGAAAAGGCAGCAGGAATGCAAATGAAGCTTATCTTTTCAGGAAGTACGGTTGAGAGATACGGAATCCCACGGATGCTGTTAGGCAATAGCTGCTGCGCTGGTTTCAGTCTTGGTTCTCTTCACACTGGTCTTGACGTCATGATTTGCCCCATGGCAGTAAGAGCTTGTTTTTCAGGTCAAGGGGACATACATTTGGCACCCCTTATTAGCGATGGCGTCAGGGTTATTGGATACACTAAGCTATTTCGCCTTACTCCTATGCGCAAAACGATTTGGATCAGCCCAAGGCTTGCCATAAATGAAGGCAAAGATGCTGTGAAAAGCACCCCTCTTCTCAATTTTCCTAAGAAACCATGGTATGTTTTGGCGCCAAAAATACATGTCGAATCCAAAGGGCCAGCATTGAAGATTAGCGTGCCTGCTGGTTTTGAGTTGGACGTCACATTTTGTTTCTACTGCCCTGAGTGGCCAACCAATAGTGACTGGCCTTCTCGACCACGCTACTGGCCTAGTATGGCTGATGCGCAGAGGATTATGTCACTTGGCTGTCATGTGGTAGCAAAGTCGGCACCATGCGACAAGGAGAACAAAAGCTGGAGATTCTCTTTCTCTGTGGCAGAATGTGAACTATCTAAGCTAGTACCAGATACAGCAAAGAAATGTTTCTTGGCATTGAAAATCATCCTAAAGGACCATCTCCAGCCCGTAGTTCCTGAAATCAGTTCATACCACATTAAAACTGTTTTTCTTAACACTATGGAAAAATTACCAGTCGGTTTCTGGGCAGACGAAAACATTGAAATATGCTTTCTAACATTACTGAAAGAGCTTCACATTGCCCTTCGGACAATGAAATGCCCACATCATTGGTTTAGTTCCATCAATTTGTTTTCAATTTGGTTTCTACTGACCGCAGCTTTACCCCATTAGCAACATCTAAAAAGTTAACTTCAAACGTCATGTAGAATAAAAGGTGTTCAGTACTCCGATTTTTCTCCCTCGTATCAGGGGCACCCAACAAGAATATAGTTCAAAACCACTTAAACGTAGCATTGTTGAACGTATTTTAGTATTTAAACGGTAGATATAGGCATATTTTTATTTCCTAGAAATTTTCCATCTGTTCGGATTTCCTAGCTGAAAGTCTAGTGATCCGAAAATTATAGGGATCAAAACCTACCTTTCCGAAAATTTCAGTCAGAAAAAAAGCTCCCGAAAATTCTAGGTGACCTTTTAAGGGTAAAAATCCGTTAAAAATGGGCAATTATACCATTTTTTATAGATGTTCGAAAATCCTAGGAGAGGCAGGCAAGCACGAAATTTTACAACAAATGTTCCGAAAATTGCAGATCGCAAATCGTCTTCCGAACAGATATTTTCCTAAAATTGTCGTTGGGTGCCCCTGTCGTATTTCGTTCTTCCTCAAAACGAAACACGAGCTCCCATAAAAACGCCTGCGTGGGAGGCTAATTTATATGTTTCTATTTTCAGTAGCTATGGGGGCTCTGCTTCGCGGACGCTCCGCTATAAACACTATAAACATAATTACTGACTTCATATTTTGGGTTGAAGAATACCGTTCGTTATACCGAGGACTTCAGTCGTGATATAGAGGTTCACTGACCGGTAGATCTGTCAGAATTAAGGCATCCCACGTCTACCATCGTTATCGAATTTTTTGGTGTAAGACTATTACATGTAACTAATACTGTTATGCAAGAATTTTTTTTTTCGTTCCAGGTCTGTTTTCAAAATATTTCTTTTCCGTTTATCACTCAGCACCTCGCAAATTCAAATGTTTTATCACTCCAGTCCATGTTTTACATACATACATACATATATATATAATTTATTTGATATTGCAGGTTATAAAATACAGGCAACTAATTATAGCTGATGTGGAGCTGCCTAATAATCTAATAAAAAACAAATAAATAACAAATAAATAAATAAATAAATAAATAGATAGATTAATTGATAGATAAAAGATACATTGTAAACTGAACTATATATATATACAACTATATAACTACATACAACTATATACAAGCTTAAGAAGGTAAAATTTGAAATTACAAGCTAGCAGTTAAGACTTAATATATATAAAAAATAAAACGAAATTAAAAAATTAAACATATACAAAGTTATCAAGATCCTTATTGCAGTTCATGCAGGTTTCTCTAATAAATGAGTGCTGCTTTGTTGGTAGAAGTTTTAAGAACTCTTTTGAATGTATCAATGTTGTCACATTCTCAGGTTGTCGTATCTAAACAGTTCCAGACAACTGGACCCCTAAATAAAAGACTGTCTCTACCTGGTACTAGCTAATTCTGTTTTTTTTTCTAGGTACTTCCATTAACTTTAATTTGCGTCTTGAGTCCGTAATTTATTAATTACATGTTGAGACAAACTATTTAGCATGTGTTTTGCCTGACATCTCAATAGCTAATGTTTGTTTATAACTGAATATACCCAAAACTTTGCCAGTGAACACGCTGTTATTTTTCACAATTCATAATATTCTTGGGGAGGCTATGTATTAATTTAGCCGCTCTTAGATGAAATCGTTCAATCTCTAGGGGCACCCAGCGTCAATTTTCGGAAAATATCTGTTCGCGAGACGATTTAAGATCTAGAATTTCGGAACATTTGTTGTATAATTTCTTGCTTGCCAGTCTTTCCAAGGATTTTCGAACATCTAAAAAATGGTACAATTGCCCATTTTTAACGGATTTTTACCCTAAAAAGGTCACCTAGAATTTTCGGGAACCTTTTTCTGGCTGAAATTTCCGAAAAGGTAAGTTTTGATCCCTTTAATTTTCGAATCACTATACTGGACTTTCAGCTAGGAAATCCGAACAGATGAAAAATTCTTAGGGGATAAAAATATGCCTATATCTGCCGTTTAAATACTAAAATACATTCAACAATGTTATGTTTAAGTGGTTTTGAACTATATTCTTGTTGGTTGCCCTCGAATTTCGGCAAAAGTAGCAAGAGAACAGCTTCCCGACACTGATATGGAGAAAGTTCCATGAGGAAGTATAGTCTATATATACCGCATTTTTTCGCTTATAAAGCGCAGCATTTTTTCAACAAAAGTTTGCTTGATAGCTCTAACTCTGTTGTGATTTCGGGATGCATCTTATAACTGGCAGACTCTGTCGAACTTTTGCCGCACAAAACACCTTTGCCACACCTAGCTAAAACTGCCGTACCAAAAAAAAGAAATTGATTCAGACGCCGCTCTTTTGTCGTACTTTCATCAATTAGGTTCGGCACATGAGTGGAGCGGTGTCTTAGCAGGACCTTAGTAACCAATCCCAAAGGCTACCAGTTATGCCGCAGGCTTGCAACTCATAGCCTAGGATGTTATGGTCTACGGAATGAAAGGCTTTCTGAAATCAATAAAGATTGCTCCAATTACTTTGCCATCGTCTTATGGATAGCTTCCACATCGCTGTAAGGTATAATAACAATGATTCAGATGATAGACCCTTTCTGTAGCCCCACTGGTTCCGTTGCAAAACACATCTCAAGTGTCGGTCTTAAAATTCACATTTGATATTTTGCTGCGAATACTTAGCAATATCAAAGGTCGGCAGTTACCACTCCAGTCCATTTCATGTTTTATCACATGCCGGAAACATCTGGTCTTCTCTGCTACCAAAAGGGGAATCCCCGGCTATACGAGCATTCAGTTGCGTCATGTGTGATCTTGCCTAAATGATAAAGGAAGTGAGTGGAACTGAATTTAGCTAAAGGGTGTTCATAGTCCCCTTTTTCGAGATTTGTCCTTTTTGGGTAAGGGGATAGGAAGTGTCTGTGCCTAAAAACGTACGGCTACTAATTTGTACTCTTCGCAATCCATCTCTGCAGTCATGGGAAACATTGGAAAATGTAACTGTAGGTGACTAAGAAAAGTCTTGTAGGCTTTCAGTACCAGCCCTGCTGTTGACATAGGTCATAAAGAACAAAACCTTTATCGTAGTATTTTTGGATATATTGTAGAATTTCGCTTTCGGTCTACCCACAGCGAAGAATCAGTTGAAATGCAGTAGAAGAACGAATGAACATTTGCAAAGTGCTATAAACCAATATAAACAGCTAATGCTTTGAACGGCTGATGCCGCTTACATTTTCATATGGACCAATCTAGGTCTGCAGTGGAAAGTATAAAAGCTCAACAATGACGCCCAGCTACAGTGTACCCCGGGGGTAATTTAAGAATGGTCGGGTAGGGATATAATCAACACCACAGTCTTAACTTCAAAGTTTTGGGTTGCCTCTGTAGTTTCAAAGTTACTTTCTAGATGATGATCAAACGTAACCTAGCCTATCGCTAGCTAGATCCAGACCGTACTGAGTATTTTGAGAATTTTAGGGTGTTATGTTTATAGTCATATGACCAAAAATCTGCTGATAGTCACGAGACATTGTTGTCTGTACCTGTACGGAGTGAATTTAGGAGGTATGTACTCGCGTTTATTGTAACTGACTTTAGCTATAGGGTGTTCATAGTCCCCTTTTTCGAGATTTGTCCTTTTTGGGTAAGGGGATAGGAAGTGTCTGTGCCTAAAAACTTACGGCTACTAATTTGTACTCTTCGCAATCCATCTCTGCAGTCATGGGAAACATTGGAAACTGTAACTGGAGGTGACTAAGGAAAATACTTAGCAATGTCAAAGGTTGGCAGTTACCACTCCAGTCCATTTCATGTTTTATCACATGCCGGAAACATCTGGTCTTCTCTGTTAGCAAAAGGGGAATCCCCGGCTATACGAGCATTCAGTTGCGTCATGTGTGATCTTCCCTAAATGATCAAGGAAGTGAGTGGAAGACCAAAATGTTATAATCAACACCACAGTCTTAACTTCAAAGTTTCGGGTTGCCTGTGTAGTTTCAAAGTTACTTTCTAGATGATGATCAAACGTAACCTAGCCTATCGCTAGCTAGATCCAGACCGTACTGAGTATTTTGAGAATTTTAGGGTGTTATGTTTATAGTCATATGACCAAAAATCTGCTGATAGTCACGAGACATTGTTGTCTGTACCTGTACGGAGTGTATTTAGGAGGTATGTACTCGCGTTTATTGTAACTGACTTTAGCTATAGGGTGTTCATAGTCCCCTTTTTCGAGATTTGTCCTTTTTGGGTAAGGGGATAGGAAGTGTCTGTGCCTAAAAACTTACGGCTACTAATTTGTACTCTTCGCAATCCATCTCTGCAGTCATGGGAAACATTGGAAAATGTAACTGTAGGTGACTAAGAAAAGTCTTGTAGGCTTTCCGTACCAGCCCTGCTGTTGACATAGGTCATAAAGAACAAAACCTTTATCGGAGTATTTTTGGATATATTGTAGAATTTCGCTTTCGGTCTACCCACAGCGAAGAATCAGTTGAAATGCAGTAGAAGAACGAATGAATATTTGCAAAGTGCTATAAACCAGTATAAACAGCTAATGCTTTGAACGGCTGATGCCGCTTAGATTTTCATATGGACCAATCTAGGTCTGCAGTGGAAGGTATAAAAGCTCAACAATGACGCCCAGCTACAGTGTACCCCGGGGGTAATTTAAGAATGGTCGGGTAGGGATATGCCACTGGGACCCCGGAACCTTTACTCTAGACCTGACCTAGTAAGTTCGGCTGAATTTTGCTACCCTAAACTAGACTAAGCCTCCAACATCTCTCCGCATCCTAGAGTAGCTATTTTCAGGAAATTTCATACTGGGGTGAACACTTTGTTTGCTATTTAACTGAATTAATTGCAGGTAAATTCAGATTTTCCGATTTCCGGTTCCCCTAGCCTAGCGTAAAATCTTCAAGCCATTGACCACGGAGTTTTTGAAAAATGACATCCTTTTTTTTTTTTAGACACAACCTCTCTGATTCTATACCCTACCCAGAGTAGGTTGAAAAACCAGACCCTTAACCCTTTCACTGCCAAATGTGGCCAAAGGCAAATTTCGACCAAATTTCTAAAATTTTGACAAACAAATAGCATCATGTGAAAGTACAGGCAGAGATCTTTCATTTGAATGGTCACATCATAGGATTTCGTCCATAGACTGAAAAGGTAGAGTCACCTTACAAAATTCCATCAAACACCCTGGCAGTGAAAAGGGTTAAAAGCGGCACATACCTATAAACTGATTTCATGTATGGCAGTACCCCCTGGCAGTATACCCGCCAGATAGGCCACTGACAGGCATATGTACTCAAGGCAAGCACAATTTGCAGTGTTAGTGTGAATAAAATTACATGACTAGAGATTATTCTTTGTCTATCTGCATGTCTTGGTAAACAAGGCGGGTCGGCTAAGACAATCAATTAAGAAGAAAAGAATTTCTTTAATTATCAATGTTATTAGTAGTACTGGCTAATATTTTTTCTTTTTTCCCCCTCTTTCCAGCGATCATGAAAGTATGCTGTGGTGCTGTTAAAACGATAAAGGGTGCTGCCGCATTGGCTGTCGCATTTTTGTTCGCCTTTGCCTTGTTTAGACTGGTTGTCGACATCTCCAGATTCGGTACAGGCTGTGCACAGGATTATTCAATCTGTATCGTTTTTGTAGTAGGCCTAGTTGTTGGAGTCCCTATGTTGATCATCTTATGGATGTTACAACGGAAAATGGTATGAGCTAAATTTGTACTTAGATTCAACTGCAGTTGCAATACTACTGAAACAGGTACTTCGCGAATTCAAAGATACGCCTGTCGGTTACAGCACACAAAAACACGTGAACTCTGAAGTTCAAAAGCCAGATAGTGCTTCCGTTCTTCAGTCCTGACAATCATCTTAGCAGACCTCTCAGGAAACAGAAATTGTCTTCAACGAGTTCAAAAGTTCGTGGTTTGTGGTTTATGATTGGTGGATTTCGATCCATGTTTTGGTTTTCTGTGTTTCGCAGTAACGACTTAGGTCACGTGGTTTTGTTTGTCAAACCAAAAAGGTGAGCTCACGTTGTACAATGGCACAGGTACTAGTTGGAGATAAATGCTAAAAGTAGTACTGATTCAGGCTCCGAAGGCTTTTTATAGACATTCAAAGTTATTTAAGATTGTTTACTGCTAAGTAGTGTAAAATCAGCTTGTGGATGATAAGTGACAAGTAATAAGGAAAACAATAGCAGCGCGCTTTATCACTGGATAATGTTCCTTTATTAGTGGGAAGCCACTAATCCAACATCTTTTAGAGCAATCGGTGCGAAGGATTTTTATAACGTACAGTGTTATGCACGAAACGGTTTCTATTTATGCTGCCTTTGTTTAACCACTACGCCACTACGTTTTGCTCTTCCCTTTCAGCCTATCTATTTCCCAGTCTCTTGTGGTCACAGAAAGTTAATATTTACCGGAACAAGTTCCAAATCTCTTGAAGAAATACTTTTGTGCGTTGAACAAAATATCCCGACAGAAGAGGAACTTCGTCACTTGAAAGAAGGAGCTCAATGTTATCTGAATGATATCAAGGTTCAGCTGGAAAAGGCAGCAGGAATGCAAATGAAGCTTATCTTTTCAGGAAGTACGGCTGAGAGATACGGAATCCCACGGATGCTGTTAGGTAATAGCTGCTGCGCTGGTCTCAGTCTTGGTTCTCTTCACACTGATCTTGACGTCATGATTTGCCCCATGGCAGTAAGAGCTTGTTTTTCAGGTCAAGGGGACATACATTTGGCACCCCTTTTTATCGATGGCGTCAAGGTTATTGGATACACTAAGCTATTTTGCCTTCCTCCTACGCACAAAACGATTTGGAGGAGCCCTATGCTTGTCATAAATAAAGTCAAAGATGCTGTGAAAAGCACCCCTCTTCTCAATTTTCCTAAGAAACCATGGTATGTTTTGGTGCCAAAAATACATGTCGAATCCAAGGGGCCAGCATTGAAGATTACCGTGCCTGCTGGTTTTGAGTTGGACGTCACATTTTGTTTCTACTGCCCTGAGTGGCCAACCAATAGTGACTGGCCTTCTCGACCACGCTACTGGCCTAGTATGGCTGATGCGCAGAGGATTATGTCACTTGGCTGTCATGTGGTAGCAAAGTCGGCACCATGCGACAAGGAGAACAAAAGCTGGAGATTCTCTTTCTCTGTGGCAGAATGTGAACTATCTAAGCTAGTACCAGATACTGCAAAGAAATGTTTCTTGGCATTGAAAATCATCCTAAAGGACCATCTCCAGCCCGTAGTTCCTGAAATCGGTTCATACCACATTAAAACTATTTTTCTTAACACTATGGAAAAATTACCAGTCGGTTTCTGGGCAGACGAAAACATTGAAAGATGCTTTCTAACATTACTGAAAGAGCTTCGCATTGCCCTTCGGACAATGAAATGCCCACATCATTGGTTTAGTTCCATCAATTTGTTTTCAATTAAGGCTGAGAAGTTGCAACTTCTTGCTAAGAAAGTGCAAAGAATTCTACAGGATCCATCTCCTTTTATCTTGGACGATGGCTGCTGCTGCGTCTCGTCATGTTGTGTGCGTGTACCGGAGGAGCACTCTACCTCCCGGGAAATCCAAGAAATCATTGCCGATTTCGAAGAGAGTCCCATTTGTGTGCGGGCCAGTGACGACGGTATGTGTCGAGAAAATAATTTTGTGGACCTTTGGCATGATGTAAATTCGCCCAACGTACACAAGGTCAGCGTAAAGGTAACTCCAAACAAAGAGCAAAATCCCTCCCAAAGGATGGAAGACCACCAAATTTTGGCAGATGATTTGGACCTGCTTATTCAGGACGTGTAACTTATACTGTAAGAAGTACGGTTGTAATCATGGCTTAGCGTATAGTCAACTTTTGTGAAAAGAATCATTTTAGGTTCCTTAGAAACGGATTCACTCGTGATTATCAATACTACGCCAAGAGGGAAAGATTTTCTGATGAACAGAAAAGGTTTTTTCCTGATAAACAGTTCTGAAAATTTGTCTACTTTATACTTGAGCTTAATAACTATGTATACAGCTGATCAAGTGTCTAAACTATTAGAGTAACGAGGGGAGAACAAGACCCCCCTTAGAGGGGATTCATTGGGCTGCCGACAGCACGATGCAGTGGCGTAACATTTTGAGAAGTGTAGATTACAATTAAGCTTTTTTTCTGGATTGAGTGTATAACTACTCCTAACCGGTTAAATGGGATAGACACATATATACTTAGCCTTTTTAAACAAGAGGCGATTGGCGTTACTTTAACTGGGACATTAATTTCCCCAATGTCTATGCCTCCCAAAATAAAGCTTAACAGTATAGCAGTATAACGTGACGATTTTGATTAACCTTTAAGCTATCGGTCTCTTAAGGTCGTACTTCTTAGAAAGAACAAATAGTGTTAGAATTGGAATTGAGACTTCGAGCGAATGGAAGGCAATGTTTAGAGGCTGTCCCTAACGCTCAAATTTTGGACCACTCTTATGGAATGTTTTCCAGAACGACCTGATCTACAACGCTTTGCACAAGCAGCATCAAGATGCACGCAGATTACCATCCAATTTATGTTAGTGGTGAAAAGATGGGAGATGTGGAAACGGGACTTTAACGGACGAGGGAAGGTAAATCTCAAACTGGTACCAACTCAATTTGTTGAAAATAAATGTAATCGTGACAAATTTCAATCGATGAGTTTAAGGCAAAGGCACTCAAACGAAGTAATGAAAATCAAAGTCTATGACAAATACGTAGAAAGTGGTCCAGAAATGAAGGTATTGCGTGTCACCTTTAATGAGCAGCTGAAGTCTAATAGCCATTTAGATGAACGAGATAGGATAATGATCGAGTTACGAGTCTGAGTTGAATTATAGTTGAGTTTGAGTTAAGTTTGAGTTAAGATTGAGTTGGGTTTGAGTTAGCTTTTTTAGCTTTCATTTTTATTTTATTTTTTAATTTTTACACTTTGAGAATGCAAATGATGGCAAATATTATCAGCGTTACACATATTTTTGCATGTAAAGTGCGCAAATACAATTATTTTTCAATTTTACAAGGGAAAGGGTGTAGACAGCCACACCTCCCCTCCCCAGCAGCCTTGGAATCCCGCCTTTAGTAAGGATCCTTGACCACATTCTGAACGCCTGGAACAGGCTTATCAATAATAAGCACATTATTTCAGTACTAAAAGAACGTATGATTACAATCGCTTAATTCCTGTTATCATGTTCCTCGATTTCACCAAGAAGATCAAGACTGCTGCAGAAAGCACTCTTTCAACAATAAATTATTCTGAAGAAGGCTGAAGTGAATTAACAAAACAACCTCTTCGTCAATCTCCGAAAGACTTTGTGCACAATAGTTCTATATTTTAAAACCGTGACTTGCTCTATTTTGTTTTTTTGAAATCTTGGTTTTTGTGCTGTCAGTATTGAGAAGTATAAAATACGCACTGCGAACTGGGGACTGGGTATTAAAAAACGAACGGAAATACTTAAGGCAGATTAACAATAAAGTAACTTGATAAAATTGCCAATAAATATAGTAAACTGACCGTGCACCACACTTTTTGGTGGATTTAGGAATGACTATGCGATTGTCCCGACTTCGATTTCAGCGAAAATACCCATACAGTCTCAAATGGAGAGAAGAGCGATGATTGTAGAGGTCGTTCTTCAAATTCAAGAAAATCAAATAGACTATACTGGTCACGTAAATTCTTAATGCCACTTCTTGACTTTATTTCTTTAACGATAACATTTTAGTAAAAACTAGAGAGCTATAAATCGTACCTTACTTTGGCAGAGAAAATGCGTGAATGATCAAAGAGTTGCGACTATAAAAAAGGCCCTATTTTTTCCGTAAGGTAACATTGTTGAAATCGAGCGCACGTGCTCGATCTCTACGTCGATCTTACGGTAAAATAGGGGGACCTAACTGTAGCAAGTTATGCAAACCGCCTGAAACGTATCAAATAACCAGTGATAAATTGATATCCTAGCATTAAATGAAGCTGGCGTGATCGAATATTAAAGCCGAGTTTCTATGGGAGTCCAAGAGTACATAGGACATTGGGTCTTCTTGGTTTTGATGAAAATACCAGCACACTATATCGGGAAAACTCAGTAGTGTTTCGATCCTAAGCAATGCAACATGACAGAAAAACCCTTGAATTTGAAGCCGATTCTGATAGTAACAATGTTACTTGAAATAACAGAGAGCACTTTGCATTGAAAAATCTGGGATCAGGAGTCCAAGCGACTATTAGTGCAATTGGAAACCGCAAGATTAGAACATGCACGATGGAATGCTACAAAGTCAGTCGCAAATGCATTAACAACCGTGGGAATTAAGAGAACAGTTACTGGTCCATTTTTTCCTTCGCTTTTTGCAAATTTTTGCACAATGCTCCTTATAAAATTATTCTCTTTTGTCATCGGCTAGGAAGAGAGATCAGTTGAAAAGGGACGATACCGGGTATCTAGCGACTGACAAAGAAGTTTTATGTTTCAATATATTGCTTTTCTATAAAAGATCATCTTATATTCATAGAACATATATGTGAAGAGTGCTCTCCATTGCCGTGTGCCCATGAAGAGTATCGTTTCTCAATGCAGGAGTGTACCTACCCGCACAAGTCATAAAAAAGCAATAATAAAGATTAATAAATTAATGAATAAATAAATAAATAAACGGTGAAAAACATTTCTGTGCAAAAAGGGCATTTTTTTGGTAACTCAAACTTAACTCAATCTTAACTCACACTCAACTCAAACGTAACTCTAACTCAACTCAAGCTCGTAACTCGATAAACAGCCTATCCCGCGTTGACAAATCTTTTATTTTCCACAATTAATTTATCGTCAGACGGTATGGCACTTTTGTAGAAAATCTGATAGCCCGAAGATTGAGAGACTCCAAGAAAGAGCGCATACAGGGTGTTTCAAAAGTTCTTTCCGATTGTAAATTGTATTTTGCGCAAAGCATTTAATGCTTCTTTAGGCAAATGTAAAATGTTTCAGGTAAGAAATTTATCTAAATAACCGTTCAAAGCAATTTCAGACTAAAGTTTGAAGAAATTATAATTTTTTTTTAATTTTTGCCCCAACTGTACACGCACGCGAGTTCCCCCCCCTCCCATATACTTTTCTGCCCATTTTGTAGGTTTTCTGTTTTGGTATTTTTAACGTTTTATTTTATTTTCTCTACTCCTTCATGAAAATGATCAGGAATGATAGCTTGCACTGTTTGTGCTAGAGCTCAGGCATCTATTTTTATGGTCTTCTGGCCATTCAGTCCAAAACAATGCCAAATTGTTGAAGAAGTCTGAACGATGACCGAACAAGTGGTCAAAAGTAAAGACCTTAGAAGATGAACCAAGGAGTGGATGGCCGTTTTTTCACAAACTGTGTGAGAAATATTATAGAAAAAGCTGTAAGTATATGTGTAATAATTCCACAAAACAGAAAGGTAAAAAAATTTCAACTTCACATTATCGATCAAAGTTTCGAGCACAACGGTATGGGGAAAATTTACAAAAAAAAGTTGGAAAGCCTTGAAGAGAAAAAGGTGGGGCACACTTCATGCAATCATGGTGTCAGAAGGATTTGCCAACTTTATACCAAGGGAGGACCCGCCGGCAAACTCACGTGATTTGAACCCCCTAGACACCATCTGGATTATCGTAGACGAGACAACATACAAAGATCCAGCCCCCAAAACACTGGACGAGCTAAGACAGTGACTACGCTTCGCCTGGAAGAATGTGACTTTGGACACGCTTTGGGAGCTCGCTCGCATTCACCTCTTAGGAAATGTCAGAAAACATACAAGAAGACATTCTGTTTACTAATATTTTAGTTATTCAATGTTAAATGAATAATGAATAACATACTAAGTTTTACAAAAGGTTTTTTTGTTAATAATTAGTGAAATTTAAGCGAATAAAAAATCGGAACGAACTTTTGAAACACCCCGTAGATCAGTCTATTGTGATAAAAGTAGTGCATACAAGGAACTTCTTGTAAGGGCTAAACTCTCCTCACTGCTAAACCATAGGCTGAAGGAAATAGCAATAATAAAGTACAAAGTTAAGTATAATTTATGCCCTAGTTATATATCCGATATTTAACAGTTAATGAATGAGGCTGAGTATCTTATGAAGAATTATGGAGATCAAGGAGGGTGTTATCCGTCGAGGCCGTAGGCCGAGGCGGATTACACCCTCCGAGATCTCCATAATTCTTCATATGATACGAAAGCCGAATCCAATAACTGTTTTATTATTCATTCAAAATAATTCCTAGTTTAAAAACATAGCTAAAACATGCTTACCTCCATCGATCCATCGATGTTCACTTATCTTCGATAGTGTACGTTTAGGTTTGTCCAGCTCCGCAAATATTCTCCAAATAGCAGATGTCGCCCTTCGAGTTGTCTTCTTGCTGTTCTTGCCATGTTTTTAGCTATTTTTTCGCCTACTTCTTACTTTTGAAACGAGTGAAATGTCCACCATTTTTTCAAGTTCACAACCGAAACAACTCAACCTCGTCCCCAGGTCTTCTCGGTTAACGGTGCCTTAACCTGCGAAAACGCCGCATTTTTGACGTCATTTTCTCGTTCAAATTTGGTCATCAGTAACTGGTTATGGTGAATTAAACGTGTGCTTTTAGCCAATCAGAATCTGGGAAATATTTTGAATTAATACTAATTTAATTTAAGCAACCGAAGTTTTAACCTGGGAAATTCAGGCAATTTTATGATTCCAAGAATAAACACTACCACCTGTGGGAAACACGGTATTATAGATATCGGCCCTGTAATATGGTCAAAATTTAGTATCCATATATATATTAAGAGTTCTGTAACGGGTGACATTAAGTGGACAAAGAACCACATTAGAACTGACACCTGTAAGAACTGTCACTTGTGCAACTCTTAGAACAATTAATGGGGTGGGCAGGATTTCCGAGTTTGTTTATTTTAGTTGTTTGATTTCCTTTTTTAGGTAGTTAGTTAGTTAGGTGTCCACAATTAGTTTACACCCAGTGTAAGCTAGGCATTTGACACATTCATGAAGTCTTTATTTTATTATTTTTATTTATTTAACCGGAAATTCCCAAAATTATTGTCGTTCTACACTTATAAAACGTGACACTGAGAGTCAATTTTGATCTTCTCTTGATGGTAAATAACAGTAATTTTCTGTTTTTTAAAACTCGCATAGCAAATTAAGTTTCAGTTTTATTTCGGAGATTGCATTTAAAGCCCTTCTAACTATCCAAGTGAATATATCTACCGTTTAAATACTAAAATACATTCAACAATGTTATGTTTAAGTGGTTTTGAACTATATTCTTGTTGGTTGCCCTCGAATTTCGGCAAAAGTAGCAAGAGAACAGCTTCCCGACACTGATATGGAGAAAGTTCCATGAGGAAGTATAGTCTATATATACCGCATTTTTTCGCTTATAAAGCGCAGCATTTTTTCAACAAAAGTTTGCTTGCTAGCTCTAACTCTGTTGTGATTTCGCGATGCATCTTATAACCGGCAGACTCTGTCGAACTTTTGCCGCACAAAACACCTTTGCCACACCTAGCTAAAACTGCCGTACCAAAAAAAAGAAATTGATTCAGACGCCGCTCTTTTGTCGTACTTTCATCAATTAGGTTCGGCACATGAGTGGAGCGGTGTCTTAGCAGGACCTTAGTAACCAATCCCAAAGGCTACCAGTTATGCCGCAGGCTTGCAACTCATAGCCTAGGATGTTATGGTCTCCGGAATGAAAGGCTTTTCTGAAATCAATAAAGATTGCTCCAATTACTTTGCCATCGTCTTATGGATAGCTTCCACATCGCTGTAAGGTATATTAAAATGATTCAGATGATAGACCCTTTCTGTAGCCCCATTGGTTCCGTTGCAAAACACATCTCAAGTGTCGGTCTTAAAATTCACATTTGATATTTTGCTGCGAATACTTAGCAATGTCAAAGGTCGGCAGTTACCACTCCAGTCCATTTCATGTTTTATCACATGCCGGAAACATCTGGTCTTCTCTGCTAGCAAAAGGGGAATCCCCGGCTATACGAGCATTCAGTTGCGTCATGTGTGATCTTGCCTAAATGATCAAGGAAGTGAGTGGAACTGACTTTAGCTATAGGGTGTTCATAGTCCCCTTTTTCGAGATTTGCCCTTTTTGGGTAAGGGGATAGGAAGTGACTGTGCCTAAAAACTTACGGCTACTAATTTGTACTCTTCGCAATCCATCTCTGCAGTCATGGGAAACATTGGAAACTGTAACTGGAGGTGACTAAGGAAAATACTTAGCAATGTCAAAGGTTGGCAGTTACCACTCCAGTCCATTTCATGTTTTATCACATGCCGGAAACATCTGGTCTTCTCTGCTAGCAAAAGGGGAATCCCGGCTATACGAG